CTTGTTCTGAAAAATCTGATTTCCTTAGAATTATCCTGCTTTGCTCTGTGCAGGATGACCAAGTGAGATGTCCCTAACTCTTTCTGGGGAAACAGGTGCAAATTCAGGACAGGGTTCTAGCGGGTGAAGCTGAGTTTTCCAGGAAGATGAGAGGAAAGCAGTTGAAGGCCAGGACGTCATTCAGGTCTGGCTTTCTGTGTGACATTTTTGGTGAGCCATGCTGAGACCTATGGTGAGCCCCAGGGCGGGTTGTTCTATGTAGAGAAGCCTTGATTATACCCTTCGGCTCTCTCCTCCGCCCTTATCTGGGCGATTTCCTGCTTTCTTTCATCTTGTAGAACCCATGATATTTTTTTGCAAACATCCAACTCGGCAAAGTGTACGCTTCCTTTAAATGGTACAGATCCCCATTCTGAGGGTAGCTTTCAACATCAAAGGCCTAGATTACATCACTGATGCTTATCACACTTTCATGCTTGTCTTAGGCTCTGGTCCAGTTGAGGTGAGTTTGCTGGACAGGGTCTTACCACCTTGTCAGACTTTGATCCTGGCCTTTTGGGGGCTTCATGCTGGGGCCAAACCTACAGATTTTTTTTTGTCAGTTGTGAGGGTTGAACTCAAGGCCTGGGCACTGTCCCTGAGCTCTTTGGCTCAAGGGTAGTTAATTGGAGATAAGAGTCTCATGGACTTTCTTGCCTGGGCTGGCTTTGAACCACGATCTCTAGATCTCAGCTTCCTGAGTAATTAGGATGATAGGCATGAGCCACCAGTGCCCAGCTCAGATATTTTTTTACCTTAAGGGCTTGGATGAAAGACCTGGGTGTACTGCAAGCCTTCCCAAGTCCCTTTGAAGGTAAATAATGATTGAGTTAGAGAGAGACTATCAGGCAAGATACCACCAGCATGAACTAGGGCAAATTCCATTCTATCCTACCTCTGTGGGTGGCTTTGTCATTTCTTGTTGCTCTGGTTTTTCTCTGGGGTTGCTACAGAGTTGACTTTGTCTTCATTTTCCTTTCCCTCAGAGCCCCAGTAAATCCTAGCTATTAGCCAGGATTATGATGCTGTGAATAGCAACTCAAGGCTTCAAAATGATAACCTTTCTCCTTGGGTTTGGAGATTGAACCCAGGGATTTACACATCCTATCCCACAGTAACTGTATGCATTATTCTCACACCAGGCTGGCTGGTGGTTTGGTTGGGCCAGTGCTGGCTCACTCGTGTGTCTGTGGTCCGCTGGGCTTCAGGGGTGTGGGATGGGCTCACTGACCTGATCCACTCAAGACTGTGGGTTCTATCACCTTTTCAGCATTCTAGCTGAGACTGCTTCTCAAGATGGATAAGGTCTGAGAGGAAAAAGCTCCCTTGCCTCTGGGGATCTAGGCTATGTACACGCTGGCTTTTCCACATGTCACGAGACCATCCCTGATTCAAGAAAAGAGAAACGCGCCAGGTATTAATGAAGAGAAATCACGACTTCCCATGGAAAAGATGGTAGATCCAGGCCGGGATGGAGAATATGGGCCATTTTTAAAACCACTCGCTATATAGATCTTGGGTTAGCAGACTTTTGTTTTAATCTATAAAGAGCCAAATAGTAAGCATTTTAGGCTTTATGGGCCATGTCATTGTCTTAACTACTTTATTCTACTATTATAACATTAAGACAATATGTAAACAAGTGATCATGGCTGCGAGCCAGTTAAAGTTGATGCACACAATCAGGCGATCTGATTTGGCCAGTGACTAAAGTTTGCTGAGCCTTGTTCTAAGTGATTCCATCCAAGTAGAAATCTCATATCCAGGCTCTAGGATGCTATCCTTATGGAAACTATAGCTTTACGGTTGTAAGCCAAAGTGGCATCTACCAGCAGAAAGGTACTGGTTGGGGAGAAGTAGTAAAAATCAGATGAGGGGACCCAGGGACCCCCTTCTCAGATGCAAATGACTCTGTGAATCAGGGGCTCCTGTACCATACTGACATGACACAGAGGCCAGGTTTATTTCTCAGGTAGCAAGTCCTTTGCCCGCACTCACTGCTGCCCTCCCCCGTGTATGTGTAGATTGCATTTCTCTTCTATTTGCATCTCCCCTCTGGGTCGCAGAGAGGAGTGTTCCTTCCAGTTTCTCACCCAGATGCCTTTTTCCTGTACTTTACTTAGTGTGCCCTCCCTCTCCCTCTCCCTCCCCTCTCCCTCGCCCTCTCCCTCCCCCTCTCCCTTCCCCTCTCCCTTCCCCTTTCTCTCTCCCTCCCCCTCTCCCTCCCCCCACCTCTCTGTCTCTATATCTTCTTAGTGCAGCTCTTAACTTCAATTCAGAAGTGATACCACCTACTTTGGATCCCCAGGGAAGCACCCAAAACTTGGCTGTTGGTTAGATTATGTTCATTTTTATCTGCCACTTATGTATCTAATGGTCATAGCCATGATTTGCTCTGTCAGAGTTTCCAGCTGGACTTTCTGTTTCAGGCATTATTGCCTGGAATAGTTGCTCAAGTAGAGATTTGGTTAAATTTCAGGCAGTATCAACTTCTCTTTAATAGAATGTCCACCTGCCTGGGCTTGGCACTGTGGGTCAACAGCCTGTCATCTTATTTTTCCCATCAGAGATTTTCTTTGTCACATATCATAAGAGAACAGGACTATCTTGTGTTTGTAAAAATGGGAATGAAATCCCTGCTTTCTAATTTGATTCCTTCCCTTGTATTACTGGTTAGGTTATTGGTGGCTACTGACTTATGCAATGTGATTCTTCCCTGGGTAGCCATCAGCAGGTATAGTTTTCAACTTGGCACGGCTCAGAACTCCAACTAGAAAAGTTTGAAAGCAGTTGAGTTGCACAGGTGGTCAATAAATCAATCACGGTAGCCATTTTATTGCTTGTAAGATTATTACCCTACTTTGCCCGTAGTGACTTCTCAATTTGATTAAAATTCAGTTTCATAAGGTCATAGTTGAGTCCTCTAGATATATAAATCTATAAAGAAATGGAGAAGTGTGCACTCATTTTTATAACCACGTTCGATGTTTTAACCATTGAGTCCAGCACTTTTGTGGTTCTTTAAGCTATAAGTCAAATTTCCCTGTTTTTTGCCAAGGCAATGTTTATTTAGTACATCTATCAACCTCTTGTCTCTGTCAGAGTGTATTATTGTAGTTGTTGTTGTAGTTATTATTTTTATTTATGTATCTTGCTAAATGGGGTGAGCATTGGTCCTGCTGCAAAGCATTTTCTTCATCTCAAAATCGCTCCTGTATGATCTGGAAGTCAGACTCTGTTGGTGGTGGAATGTGGACAGTGAGTAGGTTCCTTTGGAATTCTTTTCCAAGCAAGAGGAGCCAAGTGGTGGGAGTGGAATCGTGGGAATGGAATCACTATCTTCCACAGGAAGGGACATTCAACTTTGTTATTGCCCCGGCAGCAAGAGCCATTTTGGCTCTTAAAAAAGGTGAACGTCTGCATCTGGGACTTCTTGCCCAGGGTTAGGTATGTTGCCAGCTCTGCATGATACTTGGCTCCCTTGTTTGTCAGCACGGTGGCTTGCCAGGTGGAGTGGGGTTGAACTAGTGAATTAAAGTCTTGCACATGTTTTTACTGTACAGTTGCAATGTCCCTGATGACGATGGCATAGGCTGCCTCCCAGGGGAGCCAATGACCTGTTCATTTCGAATGATCTGCTCCTCTGGCTTACTCTGTCCATGTCTTCCTTTTACAAAACATGATGTGTTTCAGAAATGGACCCTAGTTGCCAACTGGCCTATTTGTTAATATATTTTTGTAACCCTCAGTGTTAGTCAGCTTTGTGTGACTATAAGAAAATACTTAAGGCAATCAGCTTATAAAAGAAAAAAGGGTTATTTGGGGCTGAGTTTTGGAGGTTCTAGTCTGTGATAAATTGGCCCCTTTGGACCTGTGGCCAGGCAGCAGTTGGTGGCAGGAACCAGTGGTGGAGCACAGCTGTTCACATGGTAGCTGGGACATAAAGGAGGAAGGACCTGGAGCTCCCACAATTCACCGCGGAGACACACCCCTAATCACCCAAGGACTGCCCCGTAGGCGCCACCTCTTAAAGGCCTCACTTCTTCCCTACAACACCACCCTGAGGATCATGCTGGTAGTAGGTGGTATTTCAGTGACATTCAAGGTTCGAACTATGTGTGGTGCTTTCCAGGTCATTTACACACATGTGCATGTTCCGGGTGGCAAACTGTTTTAAGTTGCCGGAAGCCCGCGCTCAGCTGAGGTTGGAGAAGTGACCCTGTGTCTTTGTAGTTCCTCTCGGGCTGTCAACAAGGCTCCTTTTTGTGTGTCTTCAGTGCCTTGCTTTTTACATTTTGTACTTTCTGGCTGCTAGCTTTTCTCTTTAAAGTGGTCCTCGAGGCAATGCCGGAGTGCTGTCAGCTCTGCTGTGGGCGAGGAGATGGCAGTGTGCCTTCTGCAGAAAATATGTGTCTTGGAGAAACTTCATTCAGGCAAGAGCAGCAGTTGAATTGGCCGGTTCAGCACTAGTGAGTGAACAATCTGTTTCGAACAAGGCATCTTTCTACCGAAGCACCCAGAAAACAAGGCTATGCATCTACAGGTTGGCAAGAGCCATGACCCAAGGCTCACAGGAACCTAAGCCTAGATTCTCTTAGGAGCAGCTGGTTAGCATTTTGTAATTCTGTGTTCAAGATGGCTTCCTAGAAAACAACTATGACAAAAATATAACTCTTTTATAGATAACCTTTGTGAGATTGACTTTTTTTTTTTTACTTTGCATCATTCTCTGGAGATTAATCTAGAATAATGTGTGTATCAGGAGTTCATGCCACCCTATGAAATGGGCTTTCCTTATATGACAAAATGGAGCTTGTGGATCCATCATTCTGTGTGGTCGTCCTGCTTATGGCTTTTTCTGGGGCTACAGCCTGGGACCTCACACATGCTAGGCCAGTACTGTCCCTGTGCTGAGCGTCCAGCCCTGTGGGATACTCTGAAGAACTCTTTGTCTCTTGCAGGAGTAACTAGCATGGTCAGTGCAGGGGTCATGAGCGGCTCTGGGAACCTGATGGATTTCCTCGACGAGCCATTCCCTGACGTGGGAACCTACGAGGACTTCCATACCATTGACTGGCTGCGGGAAAAGTCACGGGACACTGACAGACACAGAAAGGTAAGTGGCTCCCTGCAAGGCTGGGTGAAGGAGACTCTTGGGAACGGCCATGATGTATTTTAGGCATGGGTGTGGGGCTGGGGCTGAGGCTCACCGTGGGGTGTTTTGGGTTGGGCTGGAGACTGAAGGATCCCACACAGCCATCCCGGGGAAGCACGCGGAGACAGGCAGGCAGGCACCGGAGAAAGATTAGTACAAGGTTTATTAGAGGAGCCATATTCCCCCCCCCCCCCCAGAGGCTGCGCATGGCAGCCTCCACTATCTAGGTAGCAGCAGGGTCTGAGGGTGGGAAGGTAGGTGGGAGCTCAGGTGGGTCTGGGTGGAGAGAGGGAGGGGCCAGCTGTACGGCAGGAACTCCAGGGCTGGGAGGAGCTCAGGTCTGGGTGGAGCTGAGGACCAAAGTGAGCATAATGCTTACAGACACACGAGGGGCTGGTGGGGGAGGCCTGGACAGAGCTAGCACACTGCAATAGCAGGTGCTTTGGGTGGAATTTGGATCGTCCTGGGGGAATGTGGGGGCGAGGCAAAGGGGCTTTTCCAGAATGGGGACTGGGTGACTTTGGGGCAGCCTCTTCAGGGCCCTCTTTCTTGCCAACAAGGATGGAAACAATTATGCCTGAAGAGTCAATGAGCTCGTGTAGGTATGAAAATGCCTGGCATTTGGTAAAAGGTGAAAGATTTATACGATCTGAAGAGAAGCCAGAGTATGTGCCTGGCATTTGGTTAGCAGTCGGTGCTACTGGAATGGGCCATGGTGAGGTTTGGGGCCAAGTGCCAGTGGGATTGTTCGCAGGGATGGCAGGCAGAGGCGTTTTCGGGCAGGGTGGCATTTGAGCGGAGTCTTGGATGCTGCTGGGGGGGTTGCTGGTCAGAGGGAGGGGGAAGCTGGTGCACTTGGGCAATCCCAGGAATGTGGGGTCTGGCGGTCGGGTCGGGTGTGGAAAGGGGGCTGCAGGGCTGTGTTGGGAATGAGGCGCAATGCGCATTTTGTGGGGGAATCCAGCAAGCGCGCTTTTTGCAGGGGACAGGCACTGCGAGGCTCATGCAGGTAAAGGAAGAAGGAAGTCTCCCCGAGGCCAGGAAGGATGACGAAGAAAAGGGGTCAGGGTGAGGCAGTGTCCGGAGGGGCTGTTGAAAGGCCTTGGAGGGGGAGTTGGGGTCGCAGTGGAAGGAGGTCAAGGGATCGCAGGCTGCGGCCCGCCCTGGGTGGCGCCTTTGCTGACAAAGGCACGTGGAGCCTTCTGCGGTTCCAAGATACAGTCAGGGTGGAGGGGAGCAAGGGGAGCTCCCGACGCCACAGAGGTGCTGAAGCTTTAGGAAGGGCCTAGGTGGCCGGGGACGCAGAGACCAAGAGGAAGCAGTGGGGGCCCTGTGCAAATCACCAGTCCTAGGTGCAGGGGTGGTGGGAGGGAAGCTGGAGCCAGAGGCTCAGAGAAAGCAGGGAGGGGTGAAGGAGGGGCTCAGCCCAGAGGGGTGTGGGAGAGGGGGAGGGCGTGGCCGGGGAGGGGCTGCTGCTTCTAAGGCCTCCTCAGACAAATCAGGTGGGAGCAAGCCAACAAGGTGGGGACCATGGGTGACCCCAAAAACGTGACATCAGAGGAGGGTGACAAGTGACTGGCGAGTGTGACTGTCCTGTTATTTCCTGAAGGTTGGTGAGAAACGAGACCCTCCAGACTCCACCATGGAGGAACGTGCTCAAAGGGGAAGCTTCACTCCAGAGCAGGACAGAAAGCGGGGCTCTCATGTGGGAAATGGAGTTAGATTGGATGTCACCCATCCTTGCTCCTTCCCATATTATTTTGGGGGTGGGTGGGAAGGGAGGGAGTCCTGAAGTGTGAAGCCAGGTCCTCATGCTTGCTAGGCAGGCTCTCTGCCCCTTGAACCATGACCCCAGCCCCTTTTCATTGTAGTTAATTTTTCAAGCTGAGTTCTGTCTTACGCTAACTTTGGCCCTTTCCAGAAATGTTTGCAGCCATGTCTTTAAAGGGGATCAGAGAGAGGGAGTGATGTGCATGGTGTAGGCCTTTGCTAACGTGCAGCTACCTGCTTGGAAACTCCATGCTATTGGAGTCAGAGTTCTTGCTATTAAAATGTAATGTTGAAAACAAAACTAAGAACTGTAATCTGTTGAATAGGTTTTTCAGTGACCAGCCCAGCCATGGGTAAGTTACAATATCGCTCATATTCACGCTGGTGACGCGGGATCCCTGTCTCGGTTAAGGATGGATTTTACAGCTGCAAATCACACTTAGTATGCTTTGTAAATGATATGAGTTTGCCAGTGCTCTAATTCTTTGGGGACCATGCTGGCATCTTGTGGAGGGAGCTCTGTAAACTTGAAAACCCGCTTAATCGCTATGGGACATTGCTGCTTCATGAGGTTCATTTTTCTCCATCGGTCTTGGTTCCTGAGGAAATTGTTTCCTGAGAAGCAGTTTGAGTTGGAAAATAGGCTGTGTCTGCTTCATTTCCAGATAACCAGCAAGAGCAAGGAGTCCGTCTGGGAGTTCATTAAGAGTCTGCTGGATGCCTGGTCAGGATGGGTGGTCATGCTGCTCATCGGGCTGCTGGCAGGTATGTGGAGAGGTGCACAGTACTCCCTGGAGAGCCACGGCTGCTGCTGCCTCTGAATGCCACTGTCTGGGAGGACATTGCGATGGTGAAGTGCTTCCCTTCTACCTCTATGCAAGGGGTTTAGGACTTGAAGTGTCTAAGAGCAAGCCACAGAACCAATATTTAGCCTAAAATCGATCATAAGCCCAAGGCAGGAAGTCCGGCTGTGGCTTGCCGAGAGCTGTGACTACAATGCAATGCTGGCTGGCGCTTTCCACACACGCGCTGTTACCACCCTGGCCTTTACCGAGAGCACACTTTACATTTCATTGTAATTGCTTATGTAAGGGGCAACAGATATGGAAAGGTTTTGATGTTCACTCATCAGGAATCCCATGAGAGGGGCTTTTAATACTCATTTGCTATCCCCAAAAGAATGTTGAGTACCCTACAATACCCAAAATAATACTAGACACCCACAAAATCTGAGGTAGGCCCAGGAGAACTCTCTCCAGCCCTTACACTGCATAGCTCAGAGACTGCACACCCTTTACTTTTATAATGTCACTGCCATCTTCTGAGCAGTAGATGTTTCCAGAATAAATGAATATTTGGAGGGCAAACTTGTCCTCCCCCCTTTTCTTGTCAGTTGCAGGGTTTGAACTCTGGGTCTGGGCTCTTCAGCTCAAGTAGTGCTCTACCACCTGAGCCATGGCGTCACTTCTGGTTTTTCTGGTGGTTAACTGGAGATAAGAGTCTCATGGACTTTCTTGCTCAGGCTGGCTTTGAACTATGATCCTCAGATCTCAGCCTCTTGAGTAGCTAGCATGACAGGCGTGAGCCACCGGCACCAGGTGCAAACTTATCCCTTTAAAACCAAATTCATGGCAATTATTTCCTGAGGGTATGAAGATTAATGTCTAAGTATAAAAAAATTGAGCTGGGTATGGTTGTGCATGCCTATAATCCCCATACTCAGGAGGCAGAGGCTGGAAGATCATGCATTCTAGGCCAGCCTAGAACCTTCTTTCTTTGTCTAACCTTTCTTTCCCCCTGCCCCCCAGAATTGAGCACATTGAAGAGATATCCTTTAAAAAATCCCATACATTTAACAATATAACAATTAAGCAAAGAGAATTGATCAGAGAATTGATGGCATATGGCAGAATATAGCAAATACTGTAAGGAAGATAGCACATGAATTGGGTACAGATGGAATTTTGTACAAAAAAAAGGTTTTTAAAGAAATTTCTGCCCCTGCCCTTCTGTGTGTTTGTCTGTCTGCTTGCTTTTTTGTTGACTTAATAAAGCTCTTCCACGCTTTCTTACTATTAAAAAAGAGAAATTTCTGGGTGATCTTTAATTATCCAGAGATAATTGAGGTGCTTGCATGTAGCATTTCATAGAGGAGGTCCTTTTCTACTAATCGCCATAGCTGCCTATCCATGTCTCATTTTGTCCTTCCTGTCCCAGTGACATTCCCTAATATGTAATGGCAGCCAACAGAGGGAAACTGGGCTCGGTGGATGCAGTTATTCTGCCACTGATTTTGCCTGGCTGCTTCTTGGAAGATCTTCAACAGTACGCATGGTGGGAGTTTGCTGTGAATCTTGCTGCATTTGTGTAGGAGGGATTTTTAAACCTTACAGTTTATCTTTCTTCTTGGCTCTTAGGAAGGAGACATAAATAGGGGACATGAAGGAACTTGGAATAGGTTTTCTGGCATCCTGCTAGGGCGAACAGTACAGCTTATATTTATTGACTAAACTAGGGGCCCCATTTGACTGTGTTGAGCACAACTGATTGTGACCAGCTGCTTCATGAGATGTGCACTATCCATCCGTTCATTCAGGAGGATTTATCCAGACAACCAAACATCTGCTGCTGCCCAGCCGTCAGCTAAAGTCTCTCTAGAGAGGACTCTGGCAACGAGTAAACACCGTTTCCCTTTCCCTCCATGATCCTCAGGTGCAGCCAGGGGTAGAAATACTGAGAGGACAGCCCCCCTCCCCACACCCCCCGTACTGACAACAGATAACTGCAGAATAGTAGACAGGTGGCCTAAGTGGTCTTTGAATCTGGGTGCATCTTGGAGGGAAATCTAGTGAACTGCGCCCTTACCTCACTGGTCTCACTGGTAGAGAGGAGCCAGTGTTCTAACCATGGCCTGTTCAGTGGCCCCCATGACTGTTTGTTTGGACTCTCTTGATAAAATAACCTTGTTTGGACTCTCTTGATAGAACAACCTTACAACTCCTCTGCAAGGGATTTGGTAGAATCTGCCACCAGGTGGTGCTGTTGTACCATAGAACAAAGCTGAGGCCTCAACTCCTGGAATAATGTGATTATGAATGAATGAAAAGTTATGGACTTGAGGGGGTCATTGAGTCTTATTCTTGGATATCTTCAGGACTTCTCCATCACTGTTAGATCTTCATTCAAATATCATTTTCCACTGGAAGCTTTCTCTGACCACTTCTCTAAAATCACACCCTTTTTCTCTCTGAGCCTGTCTCCCTCCCTCCCTCCCTTGCTGTGTGTCATGACTGTATGTAATGGATTTATTGACATAGAATTCACATGACATACAACTAAACCATTCAAAATGTACAGTTTATTGGTTTTTAGTGTTTTCGCAGAGTTGTGCTGCCATCACCATAATCAATCTTGGCTTGGAAGGGGCCCCCCCTCCCCCCTCCAGCCGCCCTTTCCCCAGGGCCTGGAGCCATCCCTACCCCGTTTTCTGTCTCTGTCCATCTGTCTGTTTTGGATATTCCCTAGAAATGGAATCATACACCATGTGGTCTTTTATGACTGATTTCTTTCACCCAGCAGAGCTTTTCCAAGTGCATCCCTATTGTAGTGCATGGGACACTTCGTTCTTTTTCCTTTTCTTTTGTCAGTGCTGGGTTTAAACTCGGTGCCTCATGCTTGTTTGGCTCATTTTCTCAGCTAGTATTCTATCACTTGGGCCATGCATCTAGCTCAGCCTTTGCTAGATGTTTTGGAGATGGAGTCTCATGGACTTTTCTGTCCAGACTGGCTTTGAATCATGATCATCTGCATCTCAGCCTCCTGAATAGCTACACGTGAGCCGCCAGTGCTCAGCTTTCTCATTTAATTTCCAAATATTATGCCATTGTACGGATGGGCCATATTTTGCTTATTCATTCATCTGTCCACTGATAGTTTTTGGCTAGTTTGAACAACACAGGTGTGACCATTTGTGTAGGAGTGTTTGTATGGATGTAGGTTTTCATGTCTCTTGGGTATATGCCCAGGAGTGGAGTTGCTTGGTGTTATTGTAACTGTGTTTAACCTTTTGAGGAACTTTTAGGAGGCCATTTAGTGCTGAGATCTAGAAGTTAAGTAGGAGATTGTCCAGTGGGGTGGGGGAGGGTAGTACTTACTGACATAGCACAGAGAGGAGAGGGTGTCTCATTCTATGAACATGGAGTGAGCAATATAAGGAATTAGTGTTAGAAAAAAAATAATACTGGAGAGATATGGGGTTTAGGGGTCTCATCAGGATCTATTGAAGATTTAGGCATTCTCCCAAGAACAATGAGATATTAGGGCAGGATTTTCTGAAGGAAGTGGTATGGGTCATTGCTTTCTTATGTGTGCTGGTTCTGGGGCTTGAACCCAGGGCCTGGAAGCTGTCCCTGAGCTTTTGTCTGAAGGCCAATGCTCTTCCATTTCAGCCATAGCTCCACTTCCAGTTTTTTGACATTTAATTGGAGATGACAGTCTCACAGATTTTTCTTGCCTGAGCTGGTTTCAAACCGTGATCCTCAGATCTCAGCCTCCTGGGTAACTAGGATTATAGATGTGAGCCACCAGCACCAGGCTGGATCATTGCTTCTTGTGTGTATGTATGCAGGTCCTAGGGCTTGAACTCAGGGCTTGGTGCTGTTTCTGAGCTTTTGTGTTCCAGGCTACTGTTCTACCACTTGAGCTACAGCTCTACCTCTGGCTTTTTGGTGGTTCATTGGAGATAAGAGTCTCAAGACTTTCCTGCCTGGGCTGGCTTATAACCACAATCCTCAGATCTCAGTCTTCTGAGTAACTAGGATTACAAGTGTGAGCTACCAGTGCCTGACTCATTGTATTTTTGAAAGCTTGTCTGACCACGGTGTAGAAAACCCATTCAATGGGCAACATTGGATCAGGGAGACAAGAGACGAGTCTCTGGTAGCAGCCAGCCAGAAACCATCCTGAAAGGCTGGGCTGAATGGCAATTGAAGTCAACAAAGTGACTCGAGAGGAACTTCAGAGCTGGAGTGGCAAGGATGTAGTGATTGCTTGGAAATGGGCTGCTTACCCTGGTTTCTATCTGGCATAACTCCCTGGATGCAGGGCCCTTCTCCCAGCTGGAAACAGAGCCGAGGCTGAGAGCAAGATCCTTGACTTCAGCATGGGCCACTGTGAGTTTTTATAGACACGAGAGGCAATTAGGCATGTATCCTTTGATGATTCCTGTTCATTGTTCATTGGATTTGACTGCTTGGAGTTTTATTTTAAAAAGTTCTTAAGAATGAGTCCACCAGAATGGGTCATGTTTAAAATTAGTAGGGTCCGCCATGGGCATGTAAAAAGCCTTATGAAGGTGAATCCAATATTGGGTTACAATTGATTGGTGATGTCTGCCGTGGGCATTGGAGGTGTCTGGCCAAGCTAGGTGTAGATTTATCACCCAGTAACAAGTAGAAGTATACAAATAAAGTTGCTATAGTGAGAGCATGGTATGAAAGGAAAAAGAAAAGGTTTAGGGTGACAGTCAGAGGAAATGATATCTTTTAGAAGATGAATAGAGGAATAGGAATTATTGGGGGAGACAGGAAGACAGGAGAGTTAAATGATGTGGAAGCCATGGGAAGAAGTGTTTCTAGAAGGACAGAGTGGTCAGCAGTGTCAAATGATGTAGAGTTCTAAAACTGGGGCTGGCTAACTTTTTGTGTAAAAAACCAGTGAATAAATACCTGTAACTTTTGGAAGTATTTATTTGTTTCTACCTCAAAATGCAATTCTGCCATTACAGCATGAAAGTAGCTGTAGCACTGATGTGTATGCTTTGGGTGGTAATATCACACTGATACTGTAATAAAGACATAGCTAGGTTTGAACCACAAGGAAACCTGAAAGTATTATAACAGAGTAAAATGGGGAATTCTGGAAAGACACCCAAGCCAGCCTTTTGTGGCCCACTGAACTCCTATTTTTGTCCTATATCGATCTGTCAGCATTTATAATGATCTTTTACTTATAAAGACCCATAGCCCCTTGGTCATAATTTAACCAAAAAAAAAAAAAAACTCACCTAGAAACGACTAATATGTGAGGTTTTCCTAAGTTGGTATCTGCTTGGTAGGAAAGCTGGACTTATTTAGGAATCGGGGCTGCTGTCCTGTGTGTGTGTGTGTGGGGGGGTCATTGGGGATGTCCCAGCACTGGTGAGAGGCAATGTATTTTTTCAGGGCATATATTCCCGATTAAAAATGGCAAGGGGAGAAGGGGAGAAGAATGAGTAGGGGAAACGAGTGGAATGCAGGCAAGAATGTATTGTCTATACAACAGAATTGAGAAAATAAGGGCAGGGGTGAGTCAAAGGTGGGGGTGGAGATGTTTCAGGGATGACACAGATCGAGGGGCACTGTACCCTGTGGCCAAAATTTCAGTACATAATTTAAAGTGAGGGAAAGGGTGGGGTAGGAGGGTGGTGAGAATGTGGAAAGGTGGCATCTGATCCAGAGGCACTGGATTCGGAAACTGCTCTGTGGACTGGCAGTTCCTTTGTACAACGAAGGAAAATAAGATATATTTTGAAACCTCTTAGATCAGGATGAATCCCAAAAGTCCCTTGGCCCCAGCGGCTTGAGATAAGAATTTAGACATTTACTTTGCCTACTTGATTGAAGCCACAGAGCCTCATGTGGCTCCCAGGGAGCTGTGTCCTGGGCACTGACTTCTCTCAGCGGCTTTGTCTGCTTCTTCTAGGCACCTTGGCTGGAGTCATTGATCTTGCTGTGGACTGGATGACAGACCTGAAGGAGGGGGTCTGCCTGTCTGCCTTCTGGTACAGCCATGAGCAGTGCTGCTGGACATCCAATGAGACCACCTTTGAGGACAGAGATAAGTGTCCCTTGTGGCAGAAATGGTCAGAGCTGCTGGTGAATCAGTCAGAGGTGAGTGGCTGCTGGGCAGATCCTCCTGGCTGGCAGCCTTTGTCATCTGGAGCTTCCTGAATGCCTTAGCTTTCTCCTGCTTATGGCAGTCTTGGCTCCAGCGTGGTGCGCTTGCCTCTTGGCCCTGCCACAGCTGCTGCTGCTCAGACTTCACTTGGAAACCCCTCCTGCCCGTACTCCTCCACTGCTGCACGGGCACATTGTATATTCTTTTGAAGCCTCAGAGTTTGGCTTTTTAAAAAAACTAGTGATGGTTGTTTTGATCATGCTTATTTTTATACCTTTTAACTGAGGAGGAAAGGTGATATCTACTTAAAAAAATAATAGCGTGTCTTCAAAAGTCACTGCCCCCTTTTTTGTTTCCATATGGAGTATATGCAAATGCTAGTTTGTCCACCTTCTTTCCTAGTGAGTCTCATGGTGTGTCATTGTGTGTCTGTTATCTCCTATGACACTTTCTGATGGAATCACAGAGGATGTTTCTGGGCCTCTGTAAAGAAAAGAACGTCCAGTCATGGTGGGTATTGTGATGACCTACAGATTGAGTGCTTGCTGTCATGGCAATTAGAGCTTCAGCCCTGTGTAGAAATGTTGTTTTCTGAAGTTACCACAATGACTAGGAGAGGTTATTGACGGACCAGATAGTTAGATGAGAGGACTAGATGGCCAAGTTCTACAAGACTGATGTACCACAAGCAAAGATATTTGGAATGCACTTTGCCATTTTTCTAAACCTCTCAATAGAATTGAGTATTTATTCCTTCACATTTCAGAAGTAGACAGGGATCTTGAAACCTCACCTTCTCAGTGCTCTCCATTATTTCCTAAAAGGAATTCTCTACATGGGGATGCGAATGGACAGGTGGGCTGGCTGGGTGCCATCTTTTAGTTCTTCTCTCCTTCTTGCAGTCTGTGTTTTGGGGTGGAGGCAAAAATGTGGCCATCTGCCTTTTCAACCAGTTTATACTTTGATTTATACTTTGATTCAAGAAACTACTGTTCGAAAGAGCGAGAAGCTGTTTTTAGGCTTGAAAAAAAGTACCTATTTAGGTGGGTGAAAGGTATTTTTTGGTCCGATTTCTCACCACACAGGACGTGACTATATGTATCTGTGGTGCAGTCTCAGGAGCATGGTTTTGTATTTAATAGGCCCACCTGTGGCCATGGCTGTGGCCTGACTTATGGTTGATCTCTCTTTCCTTTCCGCTCCTCCAGTAATCCAGATGGTAGGAAAGAGCTGAGGCCTAGAAAAATGAGGCATTCACCTAGTGGATCAGATCTCTACCTGAAAGATTCCAGATTGTGTGTTTCAGAAAACTCTTCTCCACATATCACATGTTTTGGATTCAGTGGTCCAGTGAATTCCTCTGAAGGAGATGATCAGGCAGCTCCCCTCTAATAATGCCTGTTCACTGTTAGTGCCACACCCTTGGCCCAAATGTCTACTTCAGCAGCTCTGGGTCGGGTAGGATAGAGTCTCTGCTTCTAATGAGCTCCCAGGTAATGCTGATGCTGCTGGTCCAAGGACTACACTTTGAGGAGCAGTCTTTCACAAACTCAGTTCTGACACTCACTGGCAGTTAGTTGCTTGCTGTGGTCTGGGTGTGGCCATAATAAAAGCTTAGAGAAACTCATCCACCGCAGACAAGACAAAACATATCTTCCAGAGTCTTGGAGGCAGAAATTCTGCATCACACCTTTTATTAACTCTAGTGCAAGTGATGATTACAACCAGCATCATTCCTGCTTTCCATTACTGCTGAGATTCCACCCCATGGAAAGTTCTGTAAACAGCTCCTGGAGGAACACCTGGTGCTGTTTGTATGTAGTAACTATAGCAATAGCAACAGCTGATAAAAGCCACACTGTCCATTTGTTTGCAAAGGACAGGGACAAACCTGCCTGATCCCATCAAAACTTTGTTCTCCCAATGGAAGGTGTGGAGTGGGGGTTGTTGTTTGGATCTGCCATGCCTCATGTTTTCTGCCTTGTTTTGTGTGTGCTGTTTAGGGAGCCAGTGCCTACATTCTGAATTATTTGATGTATATCCTGTGGGCGCTACTCTTCGCATTTCTGGCTGTCTCCTTGGTTCGAGTATTTGCACCATACGCCTGTGGTTCTGGTATACCAGAGGTGAGTTATGACTGAATTTCTTCTCTATCAATAGTGGGAATAGCAACTCCTTCTATAGTGGTAGTATACTAGGCATAATCACAAGAATTTGGAATGAATTGGCTCATTTAATTCCTATAATTAGTCAAGGAAGTAGGCACTATTTGTCTTCCCTTAACAGTTGAAGAAGTAAGTAAGCACAGACTTGTTTGGGAACTTTTCCATGGTCAAGCTGGTGTGTTGAACCTTGAACTCTGACTTCAGGATTCTATATCTATATTCTATATTCAGGATTTTGCACTGTTGCTTCTCAGCAGATTAAGACCCACTCTTTGTAAACCAGGCTTAACTTTCAAAGCCAATGGGAACAGAAATTAGGATCCCTCCCTTAGATGTGGTACTAGAATCTCTCATGGCTGTATCGCCGATGTACTGGCATTCACCTTATATTAATGAGGATTGCTGTTGAGGCACTTCACTGATGATTACCTTCCTTTGCCATGTCTTGTTTTTCTGGTGACAAAGTAGTAGCAGTCTTCAAAAAATGCACTGGTGGCCAGGAGCCAGTGGCTCCCTCCTGTAATCCTAGCTACTCAAGAGGCTGAGATCTGGGGATCATGGTTTGAAGCCAGCCCAGACAGGAAAGTCCATGAAACTCTTATCACCAATTAATCTCAAAATGCCAGAAGTGGCGCTGTGGCTCAAGTGGTAGACAGCTAGTCTACCACAGCTAGTTCTGAGCAAAAAAGCTCAGGGACAGTGCCCAGGCCTGAGTCCAAGCCCCAGGACCAGCACAAAAAAATGCACCGAGAATATACTCTTTGACATTTAGAGTTGTTGTATTTTTTTCAGCACTTTCATGTCAGCAGTGTGGGGGAAGTGATCTTATGGGTCAAAGGGCACGCCCAAGACAGAACTTGAAACCTAGGGGATCTTGTTTCAGGAAAGGCGGAAAAAAAGTATTAATATGTCACACTCAATTTTCTTCTTGTAACAGTAACCAGAGTTTGAACTCAGAGCCTTGCAGCCTTGCTTGGCTTTTTTTCACTCAAGTCTGGTGTTCTACCACTTGAGCTCTGCCTCTGTTTTCTGGTGGGTTCTTTTTAATGTGTTGTTTCAGGAATCCAAAAATCAAACTGCATTGCCATCCTATTGCCTTGATAAGACTGACCTTCTCTAAGGGGACACATACACTCTGAAAAGGCCCTATGAAAAATGGCACACTCAATATCACAGGGCTCGTGGGGAAGATGAGTCAGCCAGTCATGATGCGCAATAACTTCCTCAGTGATACATGGGGAAAAGACAGGAGTCTAAAAAAACATCAGCATAGTTTCATGGCTAAGACATGTGAATACCACAATCAACATGTCACCTGTTGAGACTGCTTGGTGTTGGCTTGTGGAAGTGGGTGGAAGGTCAGTTGTGGTCTGAGTTACCGTGAAGGTAGGAAGGAGGCTGATCTGAAATCAGCAGGAAGCCATGACAGCGAGTATAGAGGTCCACAGCCTCTCAGCACACATGTGACCTAGTCTATGTGTGTTTTATGTTTTCCTGCATGGCTCCGTTCAACTGGATGTAATTTTCTGCATTCACCTTGTATTTCTCCCAGAGGTAATTGTGCATAAGTAGACACAAAACTGACATCATGTTTAAATTCTTCCCTAATGTATGAAAAGTATTGGATCAAATTTACAGTTTTGAAACAAATGTTATAGCAGAACTGGCTGTATTTTATTTGGTACCAGAAGTAAGGTACACTAGGCAGAAAATGGATCCCTCATTATTGGAGGCCAGTTTATAATCCCACTGCCCACTAGTAGGCTTTTTCTTTTGGTATGCCAATACTAGAGCTTAAACTCATTGCCTAGGTATTCCTCCTTAGCTTAGTGCTCAAGGCTGGCACTATACCACTTTTGTCACACCTTCACCTCTGGCTTTTGTTTGTTAGTTGGAGATGAGAATCTCACAGACTTTTCTGCTTGAGCTGACTTTCAACTTCGATCTTCAGATCTCAATATCCAGGATTATAGGCATGAGCCATTGGTGCAAAGCATTAGTAGAATTTTTATTTTGCCAGTCCTGGGGCTTGAACTCAGGCTCTAGGCACTGTCCCTTAGCTTCATTTACTCAAGGCTAACACTCTACCACTTAAGCCACAGTGCTACTTCCGTTTTTTTTCTGTTTATGTGGTACTGAGGAATTGAACCGAGGGCTTCATGCATGCTACCACTAGGCCACATTCCCAGCCCTTAATAGAGATTTTTTTTAATAGAGATTTTTGACTTGTCTTTCCCAAAACAAGGAGATGTTCATTGGGCAACTGTTAGGAAATCTGCAGCAGCAATAAAAGGCTCTTCCACCTCAAGAAGCAGAGATACATGGCTCAGCTGGTGATCATATAGGTAGACAAGGAGCTCACACATGTCTTTGAGAAGCTGCTTGGACTTCTTGTCCAAAGTAGACATCTGTATTGGTGACAGCTGAACTCAAAGGGGGTCAAATGCTGAGCTGATCATTTAAGTTCCTTATGTGACAAAAGGATAAGGAACACATGGACCAAACTCAAGCATGTGATGTCCATTGAAGGAAGTCATAAATATGTTAAGTATTATTCTATTTGTATAACATCTACAAACAGCCAAACTAAAGAACCCATCATATGATCAATAACGCAAAGAAATGCTTGGAAAGAGTGTGGGCTGGGAGGCAGAGCTGAGACGAACACCCGGCTTTTAGAAGCATCCCCGCTTCTATTTCTTAAGCTTGGGATAGTTCATGGGGGCTTGTTTTATTGACATTTTTAAACTATATAGAAGTATGTAATATAATTATTTATTTATAAAGGAAAACATTCAAGCCAGTGGCTCATGCTTGTCATCGTAGCTACTCAGGAGGCTGAGATCTGAGGATCACAGTTGAAAGCCAGCCCAGGCAGGAAAGTCTGTGAAACTCTTCAATAAACCACCAGGAAAACCAAAAGTGGCGCTGTGGCTTAAAGTGGTAGAGCACTTGCCTGGAGTGCAAACCTGCTCAAGGACAGCGCCCAGGCCCTAAGTTTAAGCCCCACAACCACCACCACCAACAACAAAAGGAATGGCCTTTGAATGCAATGTGTTTAGCTACATTTAGTTTTTTAACTGACCTGGGGATGGAACTCAGGGCCTCACACATGCTAGGCAAGCACTCTACCCTTGAGCTACCTCCCCAACCCAAAGTACATCTTTAAGTGTTCATTCTCCCTAGCATTTCCATCTAAAATGTGTAATATTTAGAATGGAAATACCTTTGGAAGTATTTTTAAATGCAAATTTAGAGGAAAAAAATTGTATAATAAATGCATAGCCTAGGTTCTATAAGTCATATTTTAAAGGTAGCACTCAGAGTTTCTTAAACTTGGTTGTTCCACTTTCTAATCCTGTTTGCCTCATTAATAGACCCATGATCAGATATCTAAGAACTCACTTCCTCTGGGAACTTATTCTGCATTGATTTTCTTTTTATTGTTGTTGTTGTTGGTGGTGGTCATGGGCCTTGAACTCTGGGCCTGGGTGCTGTCCCTCAGCTCTTCAGCTTGAGTCTAGAGCTTTACCACTTGAGCCATAGCGCCACTTCCTCTGCATTGACTTTCTGTTTCTTACAAAATACCAGCACTCATACAGATATTTATCAACCACAAAGAGTTCTGGTTTTAAGGGTTGCATCATCTAAATCCACAGCCATACATTTTTGTTAAGGTTCTGATTGCTTTGGTCTCTATGAATTCAAATTAAAGAAAGCAATTGAATTTTGGCATCTACCGGGAATGAATTTGCCCTCCTTACTTCCTAATTTGATCATGACAATTTCATAAAATCATTTTAGAGAATTACAAAATACCTATTATATTGTTCATTTCACTACATGTCATGGCTGGCAAAGGCTCAGATAATTTAGATTCTTGTAATTTTCTAAATGGTATGTATTACGCTTTTAAACTATACCCTGGGGTCTAAATCCACATTAACTAACTGACAAAAAATTATAGATAATTTTATTCAAGGCAACACAAAAGGGCAGGATTGTGGCAGGCATAATAAAACATCCCTTAAATAAAGGGATCTGAGGTCCCCAGAGCACAAGCTCAATTAGGCCAACTACCACTAGTTATAGACTAGTGTAACCACTGCTAGTACTCCTGCCATTAGTTAAAGAGTAGTTCAGGAAATATTGATTACTGCTACAAGACCTTTCATTATTCTATGAAAGGGGCTCCTTAATAAAGAGTAATATATATGATGTGAATGTGATCAAAGTACATTATATACATGTTATAAATACTACAATGAGGTCCCTTTGTACAATTAATTGATGCTAATAAACATTGTAAAAGTACTAAAATAAAAAAGAAGGAGCTCCTAGAGTTTTTTTATTTTATTTTTTGAGGAGCCCCCCCCCCGACTTGCTCAGTGCTCTCTCCTCTCTCCCTCTCCTCACCTTCTTTCTCTCTTTAGTTGAGAGGATCTCTTATCCATATTTCCTGCTTCGTAGTGCTTTAAAATTTGAAGGTTAGCTCACCTCACCATCCTTCCCAAATCCCTAAAGTTGGCATGATGCACAATAGAAGGAGTTAGTGAAAGAACAGAGTATTTCAGGACTGTCCCTTAAATATTGAGGAATTAGGAATATCTGAGTATTCATCTTAGAGTCACCCGGGAAACAGTAAAATTCAGATGTTTCTCAGACTGATTATCACATCTGTTGAGGAGAGTCAGACCTCAGTATTTTCCAACTCACCACCTGATTCTGGTGAGCACCACAGTTGAGAAGGGTTGAACTAGCTATTTGGGAACTTTTTCTGTTTTTGTTAGTCGTGGGGCTTGAACTCGGGGCCTGGGCACTGTCCCTGAGTTATTTTTTGCTCAAGGCTAGTGCTCTTCTACTTTGAGCCACAGCTCTACTTCTGGTTTTCTGGTGGCTAGTTATAGATAAGAGTCTCACAGACTTGCTTACCCTGGCTGGCTTCTAACCACAACCCTAGATCTCAGCCTCCTGAGTAGCTAGGATTACAGGTGTGAACCACTGGTGCCCGGCTATTTGAGAACTTTTAAGAAGGCATTTTGAAGTTATATAATTGACACTGAGAAAAGATGATATTGCTCCTTTAGGTGTTACACAATGTGATAATAGATATTGACTAGGATTTTCATTGGCTCAGAGTCTGATTTATGATGTGAGGTTTGTAAATTGTTAGGCCAGCAATTTACACATGGACAAGTTGGAGGTAGAAAAGTTATTTAGCTATTTGTGAGACCCCTATTCAAAAGAATATCATTTGTGGGAGTAGACTTCAGTATACACAGTTAATTGGTCATTGAGATGGGCATCCAGTTGAATTCTAAATGCATTAGGCAAAGATTCAAGTGCACTGGTAGGAAGACAGTCATTATTTGTCATTTACAAAATGGACCAAGTCTGAAACTGGGGCGAGGTAATTCTTTTGGTAGTCAAAAGTCCTTTTCAATACAAGAGGGTAAGATGGCAGAGAAGAGATCATCATGGATTCAAACATCCTGTCAAATATATGCAGTTAGAATATTGGGCATCTTTCTTTTCCAGCATTGTATTAAGTATATTTTCAAATGGCCAGCAAAGTTTAAAGCAAATTGCATACTGTCCTGAATAGCATCATAAAATCTCTTGTCTTTCTGCTCCATCCTACTTGGGATGACATGAATCATGTTTCTATCCAGCATAACTATGCTGTCTTTGCTACTCACCCATGAGTCACTTAGTGGGTGTCTTGATGATCAGATCACCAGTCATAGTATCGTAGTAGTTGTGTTCCAGTCTCCCTTATGGTACTTAATAATGTCCTCAGAAGTCCAAGCATGGTGACATTGGCAATTTACACATGCCAAAAAGAAGCTATAAATTGTGTCCTTTAAGTGAAAAGATGAAAGTTCTTGACTTAGGAAAAGAAAAATCATTGTATGCTGAGATTTCCATGAAATCATGCAGGAAAAATTATTTCACAATAGTTTTGCCTTTATGCCTCAAGCTGCAAACGTTATAGCCATAGCACAGGTTAAGTGCTTATGCTAAAATGGAATAGCTATGAAACGTACGAGTAGAACAAATGAACAGAAAATGTCTCCGGATTGTTAGGTTTATTCTATTTTATTGATAGCTATTGTTGCTAATCTTGTACTGATCTAATTTTTTTTTTCAGTTGGTCATGGGTCTTGAATTCAGAGCGTGGGCTCTGTCCCTGAGATTTTTGCTCAAGGCTAGTACTCTTCCCTTTTAAGCCACAGCTCTCCTTGTGACTTTCTGGTGGTTCATTGGAGATAAGAGTCTCATGGACTTTCCTGCCTGGGCTGGCTTTGAACCATGTTCCTCAGATCTCAGCCTCTTGAGTAGCTAGGATGACAGGTGTGAGCCACCAGTGCCCAGCTCTGATCTAATTTTTGAGTTAAAGTTTATCATAGGCATACATGCATAGGAAAAAAACCCATAGTAATGTTACACACACACACACACACACACACACACATCTTGTTGAGGTTTCAGTTATACATTGGGGGTCTTAGAACATATCTCTATGGGTAAGAGGGCTATATGAATACACATTTCTTTTGGCATTAGATTATAGAGAAATCATAAATGAAAATAGTCTGTCCTCTATGTGACTTAGCGATTCTAGCTCAGAGGGAAACTCTGTTACTAGTCATGGGCTGAAGTCGTTTATTCCCCCTTGCTCTCCGTTTTCGGTTTCAGATAAAGACCATTCTGAGTGGCTTCATCATCCGGGGCTACCTGGGGAAGTGGACCTTGCTCATCAAGACGGTCACCTTGGTGCTCGTCGTGTCCTCTGGCCTGAGCCTTGGGAAGGAGGGACCGCTGGTGCATGTGGCTTGTTGCTGTGGCAACTTCTTCAGCAGCCTTTTCTCCAAGTACAGCAAGAATGAGGGCAAGAGGCGGGAGGTGAGCCCAGCCAGCTCCTGCCTGCAGTGGCTGCTTCTCAGAGGCTCGTGCTGTCTCCCCTTTGCAGAAGGCCCAGGAGTTGACTTACAACCTCTTTCCTTTAGGTGCTTTCAGCTGCTGCTGCTGCTGGAGTCTCAGTGGCCTTTGGTGCTCCCATCGGGGGTGTGCTGTTCAGTCTAGAGGAGGTGAGAGGGGTGGTGTGGGCATGCGCAGTTTTAACTATGGAATATGCGGGTGGTTGGGATTAACTCACAGAAGGATTGAATAAGGCTCCTGCAATTAAGCAAGAAGCTACTATTTCTCCTATTAAGTATGATTTCAAGTATTGTTTTAAAAACTGCCAATATAAACTTCTGGAAAGATTAACAGTATTTTCTTTATAGCCAACTTAGCTTCCAGTTTGGTTTGGGGACCTAAACAGCTCTTACCAGGGTTGGCAAACGTTTTCTGGAAAAGGCTGGATAATAACTAGTGTAGGCTTCTGAGGTTGTGCAGTGTCCGCCGTGTCCATGCACTCGGCCACTGCGGAGGGCGCGGGCCGGGCAAGCGGCCGTCCAGGGACGTGGCTGCTCACCTTTACACTCTGAAATTTGAATTTCATGTCATTACCACAAAATTGTCACACAATTGTTCTTCTTTTGGAGAAATATTTCATGGCACAAGTAGGTTTTTTTTCTTTTCCAACTATTAAAAATCTTAAAAAATCTTCATAGTTCATGTAGCGTATAAATGTATTTTCTGGAACACAATCTGTGGGTCATGGTTTTCCAAACCTTTATCTATTTTATTGTCCAGACAATTAAATTCAGAGGTTTAGCTACTTTTAGGAGGACCACTGTGCTATCAGCAGTATCAAGAAAACCCACTTTTCTTTCTTTCCTTTCTTTTGGTGTTGGGGATTGAATCCAGGGCCTTGGGCATACTAAGCCCAGGCTCTTCATAAGAGGTACACCTCCAGCCTTTCAATTCTCTAAAAAAAAAAATGTAGCTCAAGCCAGGCACTGGTGGCTCAATCTGTAATCCTAGCTACTGAGGAGGCTGAGATCTGAGGATCACCGTTTGAAGCCAGCCTGGGCAGGAAAGTCTGTGAGACTCCAGTAAACTACCATACAAGCTAGAATACCACTGTGGATCCAGTGGTAGAGCACTAGCATTGAGCAAAAGAAGCTCAGGGACAGAGCCCAAGCCTGAAGTTCCAAGCCCAGGACTGGCACAAAAATAAATGTAGCTCCAACCCACCTTGATTAGTATCCATTGCACTTTTACACCTAAGCTGCTTTAAGTAGCTTTGCTGATGCATTTTGGTCATAACAAAACCTAGTCTGGTGAAGTGAGTGCCGTCCGCTCATCACTCGCTGGACAGTAATCTTGGATTGTGCCTTTTATGCCAAGTACCAGAAGGGGCTGCCAACCCAAGGGGTGAGACTCTCCTCAGCTCTCTTTGCATTCAATTTCTGGCTCTCCCCTTATTCATCCTAGGTCAGTTACTACTTTCCCTTGAAGACTTTGTGGAGGTCATTTTTCGCCGCCCTTGTGGCGGCCTTCACACTGCGATCCATCAACCCCTTCGGGAACAGCCGCCTGGTTCTCTTCTATGTGGAATACCACACACCCTGGTACATGGCCGAACTGTTCCCCTTCATCCTGCTTGGGGTTTTTGGAGGCTTGTGGGGCACCCTCTTCACCCGCTGCAACATTGCCTGGTGCAGGAGGCGCAAAACTACCAGGCTGGGAAAGTACCCAGTACTGGAGGTGATCGTAGTGACGGCCATCACCGCCATCATTGCTTACCCCAACCCCTACACGCGCCAGAGCACCAGCGAGCTCATTTCGGAGCTGTTCAATGACTGTGGGGCCCTTGAGTCCTCCCAGCTCTGTGACTACATCAACGACCCCAACATGACCCGGCCTGTGGATGACATCCCAGACCGGCCGGCCGGGATCGGCGTTTACACGGCTATGTGGCAGCTGGCCCTGGCACTCATCTTCAAGATCGTCATTACGATCTTCACCTTTGGCATGAAGGTAAGTGGGGGGGGGGGGGGGAAGATAGGAAAAGTGTGACTTTGCTGGGGACAGCACCCTCGTCTCCAGAATGAGATTGTGATTTCAGGGGAAGGGGAAGTGGCCTTTCTTCAGTGTCCTCATATACTTGACCTTCTTTCCTTTTTTCCTTTTTCTTTTACTTGGTTGGTCGTGGGGCTTGAACTCGGGACCCGGATGCTGTCCCTGAGCTCTTCTACTCAAGGCTAGTGCTCTACCACTTAAGCCACAGTGCTACTTGCTGCTTTCTGGTGGTTCATTGGAGATCAGAGGCTCACAGATTTTCCTGGCCAGGTTGACTCTGAACTGGGATTCTCAGATCTCAACCTCCTGAGTAGCTAAAAGTACTAGCTAGATATGAGCCACCAGCGCCCAGCTTGACATTCTTTTCATCAACAGGGAACAATTCTCTTAGTATGAAGTAGAGATTGAATCCCATGTTCCCATGGAGGACACTGCCAAGGCTCAGAGGCCCTTGGTGGCTTGGTGAGACCTACAGATTGTGGGAGACAGAAGTGTGCGTCCAGTCCACTTCCGTCACCTTCCCAGACCAAGTGGTGAACGCAGGTTTCCCTACTGCCTAGGTGATGGCAGGTGGTGAAGCCCATGATTGGCCCCATTTAGACGAGCGAACATCCCTTGAGCATTGGCCTCATCCTGAGTACTGTGCAGAGTCCAAGGAACACAGAGCAACCCCCCTTCCCCTCTTCCCCCCCCTTACTCCCCCCCCCCCCCCCAGAATGCTGCCCTTGAAGAGCAAATGGCTCTGGGAGAGACACATGTAAACTCATCGGAGGTTGGAGACAGTACAGTCGCACCCTGCATACCCTGCCAGCACCAGGAGAGCTGGGGGAATGAGCACATCTCTGGCCTTCGTGTGCCTGGGGCCATGACAAAGGCTCTTTGTATCCGTCCTGCTGTGATGGCCAGTGTCATGGAGAGCCTGCAGGGGGCAGCACATGCTCCCACTTGTGTTACTAAAATCAGCAGAGACAGATTTTGTTGGTTTAAAACACTGTCTTCAATCAGCTCAGACATACTTAGAGAGCTTTTCCTAAAGAGCTTTCTTTTTATGAACTCCAGCATTGAGTTATTATTGTTTTTTGTTTGTTTTTGAGACAGGCTGGCCTGGAATTTGTATTCTTCATACTTCAGCCTCCTGACTGCTGGGATGACAGGTGTCTGCCAGTATGCCTAGCCAAACTGAACATTTTGAATTGTCCAGTTCATTGGCATGAAGTGCATTCACAAAGTGGTGCAGTCAGCATCTCTATGCAGCTTCAGTACATTTTCCTTCTCTCGGAGGAGACTATTTGTGACTCCTTATCCCCCCAGCCCTGGCAGCCACTCGTATGCACTCTCTCTCTATAGATTGGCCTATTTTTGATCATTTCATATAAATGGAATGGACCAAGTGGCCTTCAGTGTCTGGCATCCTTCACTGAGTTTCGTCTTTTCAAGGTTCCTCCATCTACAGCATGGTGGTTCTTAATTTGGGGGGAGGGGGCAAATAGCATTCTCTAAGCATGTCTCACATTTTATTTATCCACTCATCCTGTGATAGACATTTGGATTGTTTCTACCTTTTGACTACCTTGACTAGTGTCATTATTACCAATTTTTAAAAATGTTATTAAAATATATCATTCTTACAGAGATATGTACAGCATTTGACCTTCACAAAAGGCACGTAGCGATGTAATCAGCACCCAGGACCAGAAGCAGAGCTCCCCTCCCCGAGCCCCCTGTTCTATTCTAGTGCTGTTGCTTTCTGGGCAGCATTTCTATGAATTGCCTCTTTTTAAAAGCTCTAAGAAATGCTAATTTCCCAAAGCACAACTGAAATTTGTCTCTTAAGAACAAGGCTGGGTGGACTTCATTAACCAGCTTATCCATCAGTTCCTACGGCAGAGATGTGTTTTTATATCAGAGGAAGATGCTAGAAGTACCCTTCAGTGCTGGCTGAGAGAAGTGTATTTGGAAGTTACAGGGGAGAGAGCATGCAGCTCACATTTGGTTATATAGTCTTGTGTTCTTGCTACCCCTCACCCAGCTGGGGAATATTCAGGATACTTTGGGGGAGCGAGCTTTATTAGGAAAGTGGGGGGGAGCGTTCCCCCGTGGCTCCGTGTCTCTCTCTCTCTCTCTCTCTCTGACAGGCACGCAGCCACTCTCCTTGCACGAGGGCAGCCAGCCTTTGCCGGCGTTGGCAGGCCAGCTGCAGCGATGCATGCAGCATCTTTATTTTTACCTGGGAGCAGTCACAGGCCCGTTCTTTTCCACGTTCATGCTGTGGCCTGACATTTAATTTTCAGAGGCAATCTGAGCGGCACAGCACGGGGAGTGAGGAGGTGGCGAGTGTTCTGGTGAAGATGTTCCTTTTGAATGCAGTTTGCAGCAGGGCTTATCATTCTTCCGTCCCCAGCAGGCAAGCTGGGCAGCTTTTGAAGGAGAGGAAATGAAAGTGTCACACTGCATTCTCGGCTAGTCACAGTGGAGGCCACTGGCAGAGCAGGTCAAATCACTTGTTCTACCTTTTCGTGGGCAGCTGACCTGTTTTGAGGGGTTGCACCTCCTTTGAAGCCAAATGCAAGCTCAGTCAAAGCAGGGGGGGCTGTGTTTCCTGGGGGCTGGGAAGCGGGAACTCAGGCTGCTTTTCTCTGTGTCCTCCCTCAAGATCCCCTCTGGCCTCTTCATCCCCAGCATGGCGGTGGGAGCCATGGCAGGTAGGATGGTGGGAATCGGCGTGGAGCAGCTGGCGTACCATCACCACGACTGGATCATCTTTAGGAACTGGTGCAGACCTGGAGCAGACTGTGTCACACCGGGACTTTATGCTATGGTGGGAGCAGCAGCCTGCCTAGGTACCTCCACAGATGGGATGGAGGTGGGGTGGGGTGGGGTGGGGCGGGGTGGGGTGGGGTACTGATGTGCTTTAGAGAACAGGCAAGAAGGGAGACGTGGGCTTGATCATTATCCTTGCGCAGGTATAGTGAGTTACAGTGTGGTATCGAGTGGGCTATTACAGTCTCAGTGGCTTAGATCTTGCTCACTATATAACTATTACACACACACACACACACACACACACACACACCACGAGTTAGCAGAAGACTCTTCCCCATCTAAACATTCAGGAACGCAGGCTGCTGGAGTCTCTGGCATCTCTCAACTGTACTACCTTGAATAGTGCCTCTCGACAAGGGGTGACTTGCTTCCTTGAGGAACTTCACAGTGTCTGGGAAGACAACTTGGCAATGTCTGAGACACACTACTGGGAGTGTCATTTGTATGTGATGGGTAGAGCTAAGGATGCTGCTGAACTTGCTGTAGTGCATAGGCAAGTCCTGACAACAAAGAATGATCCCCCCCAAATCCTTTTAGTACTAAAGTCAAGAAAGCCTGATTTAAGCTTATTAGACGAAGAGTCCGTTTTCAGTCTCTCTGACTACTGAGACATGCAAAGCTAGGTCCCTCATCCATCTAGCCTCCCTAAGAACCTCTCCAGTTTTACAGTTTATGGACTGCTTGTTCATTCAGTAAGCCTGCCTAACCTAGATAGGTTGCACTCACCAAATACCCCAGGCCTGTGGACTGGGCGGTAGACCCCACTCCATCTTTGGAGCCAAGCCCCCAGGCAGGCGCCTCCTGAGCATGGGCAGCTGAGTTTACCAACCTGAGCATGGGCAGCGTGTCCCAGGAACAAGCCTTTGTTCTCCAAGGATTCCTTAGCCTGGATTGAGCTGCAGCTCTGGGCTGCCAGCCTGCTGCTTTCTTCAGCTAGACTGTGGCCTCATGACTTGGGTTGAGCTTTGGAGTCTCATTTCCTCTTCCATTGCAGGAGGCGTGACCAGGATGACCGTGTCCCTGGTGGTGATCATGTTTGAATTGACAGGGGGTCTGGAGTACATTGTGCCCCTGATGGCAGCAGCTGTGACCAGCAAGTGGGTGGCTGACGCCTTCGGAAAAGAAGGCATCTACGAGGCCCACATCCACCTGAATGGTTATCCGTTTCTGGATGTGAAGGATGAATTCACACACCGAACCCTGGCTACCGATGTGATGCGGCCTCGGCGAGGAGAGCTGCCGCTGTCCGTCCTCACCCAGGACAGCATGACAGTGGAGGACGTGGAGACGCTCATCAAGGAGACAGACTATAACGGCTTCCCTGTGGTGGTTTCCAGAGACTCGGAGCGCCTCATCGGGTTTGCTCAGAGGAGGGAGCTGATCCTGGCAATCAGTAAGGAAGGGCAGGGAAAGCTCACTTTTTACTGTGAGGCAAATGGTCACTTTTGTACCCCTCGATTTATCCCAGGGATTCAAGAGAATGTTCACTAAGCCAGGGACCCTCACACTTTGAGGCAAATCTGTCCGTGGGGTCTGGTCAAAATGCAGATTCTGCTCCAGTAGGCCTGGGGATGGCCTGAGACTCTGCATTCCTCCTGAGCGGTCCCTTCCCCCTGGTCCTACTGTGAAGAACAAAGATTTAAATCCGGATCTTGGAGTGGACATTTCTTGGCTGGAAAGTCATGGCCACCCGTGCAGGCACTACTCCCGTGAGGAGGCACGTGGCTGCTGCGTTTTTCAGCAGCCAGTGGATGGAGCTGAGAAGGTAGAGGTGGCAGGGGGAAGGGGAGTTGTTCTTGTAGCTAGTCTCAGGGATGGACCCTCAGGCAGTCGAACCAAGCACTTGGGTGGCCAGTTGTCTGCTGGCATGCCTTGCCGGCCTCTGCACAAGTCTTCGCTTCACCGTGTGATATGTCCATCCCACTAGTTAGAGGCCCACATGCACGAATGAGCAACTCTGGCTGGTTCTTTCAGCTGGAACTGAAATTAGCCACCCTGCCTGGGACAGGCTGTTGAGTTGGGGTAGGGGAGGTGAGATGTCCCAAAACACCAGCGAAGCCAGCCTGTAGTCCCATTTGTCTAAGGATGGCTGTAATGGAAGGGGAATAGGAGGTAGGATGGTTCCAAAGACAGAGGGCACCGAAGGCCAGAAGCCTGGGTAAGAATCCTGGGGAGCCTGAGGCAAGGAGAAACAATGAGCCTCTGACTGGGGGAGTAGTCTACTGTGGCCCATCCTCTCTCGCACAGTGAACACCATGCCTTCCTGCTCTGCATCCTTGCTCTGTTTTTGGCACATGCCTGTGTTGCATGGGAGACGGGTCCATGGCATGGCTCACATATTCACATGACACTGTCACCCTCCATTATACCTTCTAGAATATTCCCGTAATGTGTCATGGGACTTTCTTTCCATGGTATGACTGCCAGTTGTCCCACTGAGAACAGGCAACTGTTTGTTCTTTCTGCCCTTCCTATTTCTAACACACTAGGACACTTCCATTTTTGACCACCTCTTCCTATGCTAAATAGTTTTTTCTTTTTGTCGGTCGTGGGGCTTGAACTCTGGGCCTGGATGCTGTCCCTGAGCTCTTCAGTTCAAGGCAAGCGCTCTACCCACTTGAGTCACAGCGCCACTTCTGTTTTTCTGATGCTTAATTGACGATCAGCGTCTCATGGACTTTCCTGCCTGGGCTGGCTTTGAACCTTGATCCTCAGATCTCAGCCTGAGTAGTTAGGATGACAGGCGTGAGCCACTGGTGCCCAGCGCTAAATAGTTTTTTTTTTTTTTAAAAAAAACTTCAAAATATCTTCCTCAATGGCTTTACAAAAATTAGTTTAGATAAGCTGTATCCTCTAATTTTCATGTTTAGCTCCTCAAAGCAAAGATTGATTTACGTTTAGACAGCATAGCAAGTTTGTGCTTGCATGCTCAGTGCTGTTTCTCTCTATTATAGGACCTGTTGCAGAACAGGTTGGTGTCTTTAGGGTAATTAGCACCTTACAAATGGATTCTTAAAAAGTTGTTTAAGTAGGGCTGGGTTTGTTTTAAAATAATGTAATCAACAGCCTTAAAAATTATTGAATCCCTAAAATCTTTTAAGCAACGTTGAAATTCAGAAACAAAAATAATAAATGTCACAGAATCCATTACCTATTGTGTAGCTCAGGCACACCTGTGAAGAGACAGCTTACTAATTTTGTCCAAATCCATTACTGTAATCAAGTGGGAAGCAGTAATTGGCATCAACCGGTTAGAGAAGAAATTTAAGCTTTGTAAGCAAGTACTCTCTCAGAAGCTATGTTTGGAATGTCTGAAGAGGCACCACGCGGGGTAAATCATACCTCTCTGCTTTCAGTCAGGCCGATAATAGTGTAGAAACTGTTATTTACACGGTTTGTGGAAAGGTGAGGGGTGTTTGGCTCAAAGGAATCAGACAAGCTGTTTTTCTGATCTAGGGAGAAAGAAGAGCCTCTGGATTCTGCTGGGAAAATTCACGACTTGTACTTGAGTAATTCTATGTCCTTGTATGAATATAGAAATATAATATTAAGCATCTCGCTAAAAAAACTATTCTGTGTTGGGTTCACTTTTAGAGCAATCAGAAGCAAAAGATTATTGCAGGATTGACTCAAAAGAATTATTTAAAAGAATGGTAAATAAGGAAAATAAGGATTTCTTTCTTACATGTCATGTTTAAAATTGTAGCAGCTGCTCATATGGAGCTGAAAGGGCTTTGTTATTTTTAATCCAGCTCTGGAATGCTGAAGCATAGCTCGTTCATTGTCTTTGTAAAGAGTGATACTTGGCACCACCTGGCCAAAAGGCCCACTCTCCCATCTCAGATTGTTACCATGTGGGGCTGTAGGTGACCCCTGTTCAATTCCGGGTAGATGGGCTTTTACCTCTTTTTGGTTTTCTCAAAGATGAGGCCCTTTTTGTACTCAGCAGGGTTCAGCCTCTTCTAGTTTTGCCTCTTACAATTAGGCAAGTAAGGGTTCAGAGAAGACTCAGTGGGAAGCCACAAAGATGATTAAAGGGATGGAAAGTTAGAGTTATGGGGACGAGTTAAGGGAATGCTCAGTTTTGTTTTGTTTTGTTTTGTTTCATCTGCTGGATGGCTTAATAATGATTCTCTCACATGTGGAAGATGCTTGCTTGCAGAAAGGGATCATTCAGGTCTGAAGCAGAAGAGAAGTGTCAGATGTGTCAGATGAGCTATGTAGGAATGAAGACTGTTTCTGTCTGGGAGGGCTGGTAATTATTGGAATAGGTCATGGAGAACAGTGGTGTTAACTCCTTTCTGCTGCAAATGTTAAAATATTTGGAGATATATGTGCAGAATGGTTTCTGCCTATGTTCATAGACAACAACATAAAAATAATCTGCTTTTTCTTCTATATAGTCTTTATAAATCATATCATCTTTGTAACCACTATGGTGGTTGCTTCCAATTCCTTTCTCATTAACGATATCTGTGTTATTGATGGAAGCATTTGGGGGTGTGTGTATGCGTGTGTGCGTGCGTGCGTGTGTGTGTGTGTTGGTAATATGTCTTGAACTCAGAGCCTTGTACTCTTGCTCAGCTTTCTTACTCACAGCTGTCACTGTACCACTTGAGCCATGCTTCCAGTCTGGCATTTTGCTGGTTAATTCGAGATTAAGTCTTGTGGATTTTTCTGCCCTGGCTGGCTTTGCACCTCAGTCTTCCCTCCAGATCTCAGTCTCCTGAGGACCCAGAATTACAGCTCATGGGTTTTCCTTCCTAATAACTTTCTCTGTGAAATAGGTTCTGTTCTACATGACAGGTTGTACTAGATAGAGTGACATTTGTTTAACTCATCCATTTGCCCATGTGTGCTTGTGACAAATGTCTGTTTTGTGTCTACGTTGTCCTGGCACCGGGGATGCATTGGTGAGTAGGAGTTTATTGAGTGAATAGCTGTTAGAATCAGGGCTTCTAACCCAGGCAGCAGATTCAGAGGAAATATGAACTTGTTTCACTCAGCAACTTGGTAAATGGTTCACTAAGTTCCATTTGCTTTTCAAATTAAGGCATTTGGCAAATCCATGTGACCAGTTCTTGATTGGGGTTTCTTTTGTGGCTTGATCCAATCCTGATGTTCAATCTAATTATTGAAGTAGATGGCAATCCTGTTATGTGGGACTTTATAAGAATCAATTGCTCTGTAGAAATGAGCAAATAAGTATGTGTTGAATATTGCCTCTCTGCCCTTAGTGCTTAAGGAAAGCAGTGTCTTGGTGTGGGAGAGAAGTAAATGATGTATAGCTGGCAGCGTGAACCATTTGGGATGTGCATCTGAGAGCGTGTTGCGTGTCAGTATCATCTGGTATTTGTGGTTGAATCATATCCCATTTGATGCAACAAGATTGAAGCTGACCCATATAATAGACAGGCATTTGCCCAGCAGGTCTCTGTTCTTCTTTTCAACAGAGACCCCTTTGCAGACTCAGCCTGACCCCAAACACGGCCAGTTTTCCATTCCAGCACTCTATTGCACTAAGTATCCTTAGAGGAGGGAGGCATTTAGACTTGCATTTTTCAAAGAACAGTATAGGTGAATAGCAGTCTTGGAGATGGTGAGGACAGTTCTTAGAGAAAGCAGGATTCATTTTCAAGCAGGCCCTGCTGTACATTTTCCCTAACCTTTTCCCATGAACCAAGAGAAAGATTAAAATTCCAACAGAAGGAAAATCGCCTTGGAGAAATATCTTGAGACCGATGGATTTATTTCATGTGTGACTTAAAATAGCCTGGGTTTCTAGCACTGCATTAGGCTGTATTTCTAATGAATTCCTGTTACCCTACTTTTATTCAGCTTCACATGGCCTTGCCTACAGACAGAAATGACTAATTGCTACCATAATAGTTTTACTATCTTTCTTCAAGAAATCTACAGAATGGCCCATGTTTAAGAGAGGAGACCCAGTGGGCAAGGCGCTGAGGCTTTTCTGCAGTTGAGTCTTTGGTCCCAAGGCTCATATTTGGGACTGCACTGCATTTCTGGGCTGTGAGCCTGGGCTGGGCTTATTGTTTTTTTTAAATTTCTTTTTGGATTCATAATGCCAATTAGACCAATTTTAAGTTGGTTTGTAAAAAAAATGAAAAAGCACCCCATGTATTAAGGTCACTGGGCAGCTAAATGAGGTTTCTTGTTATGATCAACTTCACTCTGTGATGAGGTGTAGATGTATTTATAAAGCAAGGACGGAGGGTGGTAGGCGGTTTGGGGTGCTCTGGAGTACAGAGGGAAGAAGTGAATATCCCCAAAGGAGCTCTGCTGGTTGGGTCCATCTTGTAAGACATTGGCAGCGGATGGTTTGGTCACTGCAGGAGTCCCTCCCACAATAGCTGCTTAAGAGAGATGCCAGTTTCACAGATGTCTGGCTGAAGCCCTCATTTTGAATGTGCCCTTTTCCCTCGGGACCTCTTTCCTGCGGGATTCTTGGATACTGTGGGGGGAATATGGGAAATGTGTAGACGATTTTTGCATGGTTAATTGTTCCTATTCTCCTCCCCACTCATTCTAGAGAATGCCAGACAGAGGCAGGAGGGCATTGTGAGCAATTCCATCATGTACTTCACAGAGGAGCCCCCTGAGCTTCCGGCCAACAGCCCCCACCCCCTGAAACTCCGGCGCATCCTGAACCTGAGCCCTTTCACAGTTACAGACCACACACCCATGGAGACGGTAGTAGACATCTTCCGGAAACTAGGGCTCCGCCAGTGCCTGGTAACTCGGAGTGGGTGAGTAGCTGTACAGATGGGGACAGATTATGTACTATGGCCAGACTTGGGAGAACAAGATGACGATGAAGACGTTGTGTCCAATCTTAAAGAACTCTTTCCAATGGAGGCAGATCAGGTAGATACATGAGGCCAATGAGCTGTGGTGAACAGATGGAGAAGCAAGTGTACAGGGAGCTTTGAAATCTCAGTGTTAGCAGGGAGCCAGTGCAGCCTAAGAAGGTGGAGAAACCTCTAGGGGACACTACTGCCTGCGCTCTGTCTGAAGCCTGACTCAAAGGGGAGGAGCCAGAAGAGAAGGGCTTGGCTTTGTTTTTCTACAGCCACAGGACCCTGGGTCTATAACATGACACATATGCTCCAGGAACTCACAGGGTTGTACAGAATGAGCATCGAGACTTCAGGACTTAGGGGGAAAATGGGGTTAGGCATGTAATACTAAAAAAAACTTTATCAGGAATATAGTATAACAAAGGGAAGGAAACCTAATACAAATACAGTAGTTTTACACATGTATGTGTTAAATGGTTAAGAAATGCATGGATGTAGCAATAACTATGTCACGTAACCTTGGAAAGGCTGAGGTTGGCCATGTAGTGGACATCAGAAGGGCTGTAGCTCAAGAGCTCCTGTGAAGGGTGGAAAGAGGAAGCTAGCACTGCAGGCTGGATGGTGTGGCTCTTGACACACACGTGACCAGAAGCATGTGTGCATGTTGAATGGTTGCATATATGTGTATTTCCTGTGATGCTCCTTGTAGTGGGGCACAATTTTTTATACCATTCTCATGGATGAAAGAACAAAAACATTCACAAAGTCCATATTATGTTCTGATCTTTCCCTAATATATCAATCCATTGGAAATAAAATCACCTTTGCCAGAATAAATGGGATCGGAAAGCTAAGAGGTTCCTTAGGCCCATCGAGTCTCTAAAACTTGTGCTTTGTATGATCACAAACTAGGAAAGACCAAAGGGTCATGACAGTGGCAGAGCTGTGGCTCCTTGAGAACTCTCCTTCAGGTTCAGAGATGTGCCCAGATTCCAAAGCCTCAGAAGCTTGCAAGGAGAAAGGAGTTGGCTCAATCTTTTTTTTTTTTTTTTTTTTGGTTGATGTGGGGCTTGAACTCTGGGCCTGGGCGCTGTCCCTGCGCTCTTCAGCTCAAGGCGAGCACTCTACGGCTTGAGCCACAGCACCACTTCTGGTTTTTGAGTGGTTTATTGGAGATAACAGTCTCATGACTTTCCTGCCCGGGCTGGCTTTGAACCACAATCCTCAGATCTCAGCCTCCTGAGTAGCTAGGATTACAGACGTGAGCCACCAGCGCCCTGGCTAGTTGGCTCAATCTTGATGGTTTAAATACAGACTCACTCTCGTCCTTCTAGGCACGGAGATGAAGGCATGGGTTGTGGAGCCATGGGGACCCATGACGGTTTCTTTTTATTTTTGTCTGTCATAGGGCTTGAACTTGGGGCATGGGATCTGTCCCTGAGCTCTTTTGCTCAAGGCTAGCACTCTACCATTTTGAGCCACAGTACCACTTCCGGATTTCTGAGTAGCTAGGATTGCAGGTGTGAGCCACCACTACCTGGCTTCTCATGATGGTTTCTTGAGGCCTTCACAGAACCCAGAGGCTCAGCTATCTAACTTAGTTTACAAGTTAAAAGTCTGGAGTCAGGATATTCTGGGTTAACTCAGTAGTTCTCTGCTTTTTGGGGTAGGGGGCAGTACTGGAGTTTGAACTCAGGGCCTTTTGCTTACTAGGCAGATGATCTACCCCTGAGCCATGCCTCCAGTCCAGCCCTGTCTCAGTAGGGCTGGTTTTGATCCCCCAGAGGCATTGGGCAATGTCCAGGGATAATTTTGGATGTCATTACTGAAGAGAGGTGATACTATTCTCTAGTAGGTAGAAACCAAGGCAAATACAACAAAATGTTCTGGCTCAAAATGTTACACTGCTATTGAGCTCTGCTAGCCTGGATGTGTGTGTAATCATGTGAGCAATCCTATGCAGTGGGCTTTCTTCTGCTGACGTGTTATAGAGGTCCAGGCTCTGCAAGGTTTCGGTGTGCACATTTACTTGCCAAACTCCAAACGGGCAGGACACAAGTACCTCCTTAGCTCTGACTGCAGCCAGAGGAGTGTCTTACACATGGGCAATGCAGTCAGTGGAGAGTAACTTCTTTTCTTTTTTCTTCGATCGTGGGGCTTGAACTCTGGGGCCTCGGCGCTGTCCCGAGCTTCTTTAGTCAAGGCTAGTGCTCTACCACTTTGAGCCACAGCTCCACTTTGGGTTTTCTGGTGGTTCATTGGATTTAAGAGTCTCATGGACTTTCCTGACTAAGCTGGCTTTGAACTGTGATCCTCAGATTACAGCCACCTGAGTAGCTGGGATTACAGGTGTGAGCCACTAACGTCCAGCTTAGAGGTCATTTCTGAGTCAATTTCTCACACTTGAGGGTGCGTCAGAATGGCTGGCAGGATTAAAGCTGCGGAACTATTTACTGATCGCTGGGATCTTGAGTGAGGTCTGGCACTGTTCAGTCTGAGCAAGCTCCGGGGAAAGGCTGGTCTTGGGAAGCCACTTTGGGAACCCTTGAGATTGATTTCTACACTTGGGTTTCCAGTGCTCAGCACACATACCACTGTGGCCGCCCTTGCCATCTTAAGTGTATAGCAGTTTCTCCTTTCCTTTAAAATAATAATCCAATGTCAGTTATCATTGGAATTTCCAGTGTAGGCAGGAAATTCTGCCCTGAGCGCCTGCTCACACCTCCTGCAGCCCCATGAGGTTTTCATGTGAGGATCTGGGTGCCAAAATTGGCTCCGAATGTTCTGTGAGAAAACAAAATCTCTCTCTCTCTCTTTCTCTCTTTTTCTCTCTCTTTCTAGCTCTACATATTTTAAACAAACACAGATGCTGATACATTAGTGCTGGCAAGGGATTCTTGTTTGCGGGTCCTTTCATCTTCATCTCCTTGGGCTTTTTGCCAGGGCAGGCCTGGCTTAGGCCAGCTCCAGTTTTTGATGCATGCTCCTGCCATGTGGCGTCTCTGCTCTGATGGCGGAGAGCCGGAGCCCGTCTCCTGACCTGCATCATCTGTAGGAGGTCCCAGGGCCGGGGGCCCAAGGTATTTGTGAAACCAGACCAGGAACCAGCACTACATTCTTTGTCCCCAGAATGCAAAGCTTGAGAAAGTCTACCGAAAGTAAGGGCAATTTTGCCTGAGGTTCCCCCTAGAAAGGTTTTAGAAAGGAAAAGCAAGTAGGAGAAATAGTGACAGATTTCTCCCCTCCTCCTCGGTGGTCCACAGGGGTCTGATTATGGGCAGCTTTCTCCAAAGAGCCTAGCTGCAGGAGTGTGCACAGATATGGCCCTTTATAGCTATGTATGTATGTGTGTATGTATGTATGTATGTATGTGTATGTATGTATTTATGTGTTGTTGGGGCTTGAACTCAGGGGCTAGGTGCTGTCCCTGAGCTTTTGTGTTCAAAGCTATCACTGTACCACTTTGAACCACAGCATCACTTTCAGTTTTCAGGTGGTTAATTGGAGACAAAAGTCTCATGGACTTCCCAACCTAGGCTGGCTTTGAACCACAATCCTCAGATCTCAGCCTCCTAAGTAGCTAGGATTACAGGCACGAGCCACTTAGTGCCCTGCAAGATGTGGCCATTTATAATTCACAAAATTCACTTGAACCCAAAAGAGCTAGAAGTAAAAATACTTGATTTAAATCAGGTAGGACTTTTGCACCACTAACAAAGCCTGCTGGATTTGATGTTGCCTCCTAGGTTGATGGTAGGTTTTATTTTCAGTAATTACTGTCACAGACCAGGGCACAGTTTATGCCTATGGGCATAGGGAATTGATTGTAGTCAGTTCCCCTCTATGGTTCTTCCATAGTGTTCCATTTCTTGAGGCAAAATCAACCCAGGAAATGCTGCCCCAACCCAAGTGTGGACACTGTAGGACCAGGTGATGGGATTTCTACATTCTCTGCTGATGGTACATTGCATATTTCCCAGAAAGCCACTCTTACTTGAAAGCTTCCAAATAGGAGTAGTATTGAAAATGTTTATGAGCTTGTGCCAGGTAGTAAGTGATCCTTTGTTTTGAATTATGAAGAGTTACTTCAGTGAGTGATTGAAGTAGTTATAAGGGCTGGGCAATGGTGATTCACATCTGTAATCCTAGCTTCTCAGGAGGCTGATATCTGAGGATCACGATTTGATGCCAGCCCAGGCAGGAAAGTCCATGAGACTCTTATCTCCTATGAACCACCAAAAACTCAGATATGGAACTGTGGCTCAAGTGGTAGAGTGCTAGCCTTGAGCAAAACCAAACAAAACAAAAACCAAGGTTAGTTCCCGGGCCTTGAATTCAAGCCCCACAACTAGCATTAAAAAGAAGATGTAGCTGGGTACTGTTGGCTCATGCCTGTGATCCTAGCTACTCGGGAGGCTGAGATCTGAGGAACAAAGTTCAAAGCCATCCCGGACAAGAAAATCCATGAGACTCATCTCCAGTGAACCATCAGAAAACCGGAAGTGGTGCTGTGGCTCAAGTGGTAGAGCATTCACCTTGAACTGAAGAGTGCAAGGACAGCCCCCAAGCCTAGAGTTCAAGCCCCATGACCGACAAAAGAAGGAGGAGGAGGAAGATGAGGAAGAGGAAGAGAGGAAGGAGAAGGAGGAGAAGCAGAAGGAGAAGAGGAAGAGGAAGAAGAAGGAAGAAGAAGGAGAAGAAGAAGGAGAAGGAGAAGAAGAAGGAGGAGGAGGAGGAGAAGGAGAAGAAGAAATAATAATATGAGGATAGGAAGCAATCTTCCAGGGTATCCTTGCCAGAGACCATAAACCAACAGGGATGGGAATACTTCAGTGCTTTTTAGTTTGGGCAGTGGTTTGCTCTCAGCATGGAGTGATTTTTTTAACTCCAGCCACAGGAGACATTTGGCAGTGTCTGGAGAATTTTTGATGGTTACAACTGGAGCAGATAAGGATGCCTCTGTAATTTAGTGGGTAGAGAGGCCTGCATGCAGCTCAGGGCAGCCCTCCGCCCAACAAAGAAAGGTAAAGGGTTGAGGGTTCATTTAGCTGCTGCTACCTAGGAGGTGACCTTAGTAGAGTCTCCCAGTTTCCTTTATATGTATTTGGTTGTAGTGGGGCTTCAACTGAAGGCCTTGTGCTTGCTAGGCAGGTGCCATCTGCCTTTAAATAGTATCCCCTACCAGTACCAACACTGTCTCCATGCTGTCACTACACCTTTGAAATTAATTAGTATCACTGGAAAAGGAACAAAATGTGTCTACTTTGGGAGGAAGCTCTTCTTCACCTGGGCTTCCTAGCTCTGGGCTACTCTTCTCACCCGCTTCCCAAGGCTGTCAGAGCACAAGGACAACTCCAAGGAAATGGACTCATTGAAGTTTCCATGGAAACAGGGTGATTGACTAAGTACTAGGAAGCAGTGCTCTTGGGAAATTGTTACTTTTCATGGGATGAATACAATCTGCCCTCATTGTAGCAACTGAGCCCCAAGCAACTGACATATGTCAAGAGGGCAAAGGGCATTGGCGGCTGACGTGTGTAATCCTCACTGCTCAGGAGGCTGAGAGCTGAAGATCGCGGTTTAGTTTGAAACCAGTCCAGGCAGAAAAAGCCCATGAGACTCTTTTTTTTTTTTTATTGTGAAAATAGCGTACACAGGGGTTACAATTACATGGGCAAGATAATGAGCACATTTCTTATCAAGCATTGCAGCCTCCTTTGTCCTTATCATCCCTTCCCATTCCCCCCTCTACACCCCCCCCCGCCCCCGCACCAAAGATGTAAAGTTCATTTTTTGACATAACGTCTTGTACATCTCATTGTTGCAGTGGGTCCACCTGTATCCCTACTTAAACAATTTGTTTTTTCCCTTCCCCTCCACAAATTATACCAACATCAAATACAGTGAGAACAGGGGTTATACCATGGGGAGTGGATATACAAAGCAACAAAGAAATATCTTATAAATATGTTAGAAACAATAACAAGAAAGAAAAAAACAGTTGAGTCTTTATCTTGGGGTTCATTTCGCCTTACATCAACTTATCTGAATGTTTCTGCTTGTCTCAGACATATACTAGATATTGCAAATAAGACAAACCATGGGGCTTATGTTTCTTTGGGCTTGGCTTACTTCACTTAATATAATTTTTTCCAAGCCTTTCCATTTCCTAACAAATGGGGCAATGCCATTCTCTCTGATGGAGGCATAGAATTCCATTGTGTATATATACCACATTTTCTTGATCCATTCATTATCTCTTGTAAACTGCTCAGAAAAAGCTAGTAGTGGCGCTGTGGCTCAAGTGGTAGAGGGCTAGCCTTGAGCACAAAGTACCTCATGAGACAGCACCCAGGCCCTGAGTTCAAGTTCTAGGATGACAATTTTTTTAAAAAAAGAAGGAAAAGAGGAGTCTGGTCTTAGCAACCTTAATTGTGGTGTGATGAGCTCAGAGCCTGCCCTCATTCACATGAATGTGTGGGGCTGGCCTTCTTGGAAGAAGCCAGCATTTCATACAGTCATAATAATAATAATAATAACAATAATAATAGTGTCTGGTTCTTTAGACATGTCATGTTTCAGTACTGTACTGCCATGACTGTACCAACATCTTTTGGGAACAAACTAGGTTTATCGTGGGGTGGGGAGGGGGAGGCTAGATGGGAAGGGATGGGAGAGGGAAACAAAGGAGGAGGCAACAATGCTTGATAAGAAATGTACTCGTAATCTTGCCCATGTAATTGTAACCCCTCTGTATGGTATTTTCACACACAAAAAAAAAACTAGGTTCATCTAAATCACTGTGTGTGTTCACGCATGCGTGTGGGTGTGGATGTGCTAGGACTGGGACTTGAACTCAGGGTCTCACACCCTTCCTTAGCTTTTTCTTTTGCTTAAGGCTGACACTCTATCATTTGAGCTACACCTCCACATCTGGCTTTCAGTTGGTTAGAGATTTTGTCTGGGCTGGTTTTGAACCTGATCCTCAGATCTCAGCCAGCTAAGTTGCTAGGATTTATAGGTATGAGCTACTAGCACGTGGCTAAGTCACTTCTATATACCTTTTTAAAAATATACATTTTTATTAACATTAGTGGGACAGGTGGTTTCATTTTCACAAGTCCAAATATGCTTACAATGTACCTCGATCAGACTCACCCCTCTGTCACATTCCTGCATTTCCTCTTCTCCTCCCAAACCATCTCAACAGACTTCCATTTTCACACATGCATATGAAGTATTTGAATTATATTCACTCCGTCACCCTCTCCCTGCCATTAGTACCCCACCCGGTGGCAGAACCTATTTTATATTCCTGTCATACATTTGTTTTTGTTTTTTTGGTGTGTGTGTGTGTCTGTGTGTCTGTGTGTCTGTGTGTCTGTGTGTGTGTGTGATAGGGCTTGAACTCAGAACCTGCACACTGTCCCTGAGCTCTTCTGCTCAGTGCTAGTGCTCTACCACTTTGAGCCATGGCTCCACTTCCAGTTTTCTGGTGGTTCATTAGAGGTAAGAGTCTCATGGACTTTCCTGTCCCAACTGGTTTTGAACTGTGATGCTCAGATCTCAGCTTCCTGAGTAGCTAGGATTACAGGCGTGAGCCACAAGCACCAGGCAGCACAGGGCTGCTAAAAAGGCAATTAAAGTTCAATTAGGGCAGAACCCTAACCCATCAGGACTAGCGTTCTTATAGGAAGAAGAGGCCCAAGGAGAATCTGTGTATAGAGAAGAGGCCATATGAGGACATAGGAAGGATGGGCCTGTGACCATCTGAAAGCCAAGGAGACAGGCCTTTGGAGCAATTAGCCCTGCTGGCACCTTCATATGACACGTTGAGAAATGAATGTCTTTTATTTAAGCCACCTGGTCTATGGCATTTTGTTCCGGCAGCCCAGGCTGATAAATACAGAGAGTCAGACTTGGCTTGTTGGGTTTGGTAGAGAAGCATCTGTTTCATTGGGTCTCTATAGCTTGATAGTACTTTGATTTGTAGAAGTAGATTGAAAGTCGTGAATGGCCATGGCTAAAGTCCAGGAGCTCAGAAGTGCTTCAGTGAGATCCTACCCCACTGTCCTCATCTCTATCCCCATTTAGGTGACCACTCCTTGCCCTGGCTAGTGTCTGGTATGCTTGTGTGTGTGTGTGTGTTGGTACTGGGGATCTTGAACTCAGGGCCTTGTGCTCTCAGTTGGCTCCCACATTACTCAAGGCTGGCACTCTACCACTTGAACCATACCTCCACTTTTGGCTTTTTGTTGATTAATTGGAAATAAGAGTCTTACAGACTTTTCTTCCAGGGTTAATTTTCAATTGCTAGTCTCAGAGCTCAGCCCCCTGAATAGCTAGGATTACAGGCGTGAGCTACCAGCATCTACTATGCTTTTTATTTTTAATTTTTTTATTGTAAAAATAATGTACAGAGGCTTACTATGTGTTTGAAGGTCCCCTTTCAATGCTTTTTTCTCTTCTGAAGTTATTCCTGAAAGATGGAGGGAAAGAGGCAGTATTTATCATCTCTCTTAATATGGCAGATGAGGGGACTAACATAACACAAAAATAAATCACATTATCAAGGTGATTTAAGGCCCATGTGATCAGAGACAAAAAGCCAAACTTCCAGCCTGACTGGCCCACTAGGTGGGTCTGATTTGAATACTCCTTTGAACACTCATGGTAGTCACTGTTAGTAAAAGCTGAGTTTGAGAGCTGGTGGTGTAGCTCAAGTGGTAGAACCCCTGCCTAACAAGCATGAGGCCCTGATATTAAACTCCAGTACCACCTCAGAAAAGGTCAGTTTGGCTAACTTAACTTTTATTAAACAAAGGATGGGGTATTACAGTTGTGTTTTCTGATTTTTCTTTGTTTGATATGTCATCCATCAATTTATGTAGCCACAGAGTAAAACTTACTTAGCTACGTGGTATTTCGGTGTGAGGCTGCTGCAACTTGCCTCTTTATTCCCCCTTCTGGAGTGCAATGGCTAGAGTGTGCATTCATTTGCAAAGTTCCTTGGCAATGTGAATTCTCTTCTAGCAAATCTTTCACTTCATCCAGAGTTTCTAATGAAGTGTTTAATGAAATAACGAAGCAAGGGTTGTGGCAATGGTTGTTTAGTTGGACACTGTGTGAATGCAGGGAGTACTACTTACTTTTTTGTGTGTGTGTTTTGTGTATAGCTGAGGTTGATCTATATCAGAGATCCTGGGAAGGGGCATTGTTTTTATAATTTGGATAAATGGTCAGATGGGAATGTCACATTTTATCTTTCCAGCAAGATTAAAAATTGGGTACATTTTATCTCACACCTCACATTTGTTATACAGGTGGAATTCTTTTAGTGTGGAGTCAAGCTTTGACCATGGCTTCTGTAAGATTTTTTAAATTAATTATAATCTTCAAATTGAAGCTTGTGGACTGGTCATTGTAGTTTTACAGCCCGTGTAATGCCCAAGCTTGCAATACCAGTGGGTTAACGCAGTAAAGCATTGTTCTCCTCACACGTCCCACCCCATGTGGCTTGCAGATGTGGGAGGCCCGTACATCCAGCCACCCAGATCTTTAAGTCTGGTGGCTCCTCTGTAGCTCAGAGTCCTTCACTGGCTTCTTTACCTCTGGCCGCCAGATGAAGAGAGTGGAAGTGTGTGTGTGTGGGGGGGGGGATTTGCAGGAGACCTAGGAATGGCACTTATCACCTTCACCTAGAGACCATTGGCCAGTGCCCCCACTCACTCCACCCAATCATAAGGGAGTTTGGGAAACTTCACCTCTCTGTGACTAGGTGGGTAAGGCCCTGGGGCTTAGGGACAAGGATGAGTCCTAAAAGACACCAGGCTGACCTCTTTCCTCTGTTTTGTTTTCACTCTAGGAGACTTCTTGGCATCATCACAAAAAAGGATGTGCTGAGACATATGGCCCAGATGGCAAACCAGGACCCTGAATCCATCATGTTTAATTAACAACAAGGTGGCAGTTATTTCGAGCAAATCACTGGCCGTATCATTTTGAAAGGAAGAAACAAATGACATGTTATTATCCCAACAAAGGATATCAGAAACAAACATTTTCTTTAAAAGGAAAGAAAGTGGAGACTTTTTTTAAAAGCAAAACTATTAATAAGTAGGCATTTGATAGCTTTCATCTCCATGAGTTCCCAGTGGGTTTCCTAACGAGTTTCCTAACTGCTTTCGGGGCACGTGGGTGGGTGGAAGTGATGTGGATTTTTGCAGGGCCATGGAACCCAAACGCTGAGTGGAGGATCTTTGCCCCTTCTACTCAAGGCTGATGTTTGTAACTTGAGAATACATGTGAAGCTTTGAGTCCAAAAGACGAAGGGGTGTTGGCGTGTCCTTATTTACTGGGTTCTGGCCTTTTGCTGCTATGTTACTGAATCATAGTAAAAAAAAGAACAAAAAACATTTGCACTTACTTTGTTGGAAAAGAAAAAGAAATCAAAGTTGTACACAGCAAGCATGCCCTGGCGGGGCTGTTCCTGACCATTCTACTTCTTGCTCCTGCTTTTGCCTGTTGTTTTGCTTCTTGGTTAGTTTCTGAACCAACATCAGAGGTGCCCACCATAATGGATATGAAGAAATCATGTGTGACCAGCATCTTGGGACTGGACAGTGAACTATTGAAGCATGCAGTACTCTGTGTAGTTTCCTCTCGTGCAAGGGGACACATCCTTACTTTGAGGGGACACAAAACTCACCATTGATTTGCATCCTTATTGGTTCATTTATTTATTGCTGTTGCCTATACATTCTTAAATATCAATCAGTCCAGTATTTTCCATGGTTTGTGGCCTGTATGCTCCCAGCTTGCTATAGTGTGTTTTAATTTCCAAGCAACATATACAAGTAGAACCAGCAATCCAGTGTTGCTACTTATTTTTTTCCCCTCAGGTCTTTTCAGATAAGGCTATGAAGAGGGTGAAGCATATGAATTCTCAGTGGGAACTCCTCCAAATGGATTGTAAGAGAAATACTAAATTGATTCTAAATATGTTCCATTCTCCTCTCTGCGGGATGCAAACTGTCCAGTCTTAATCTCTATAGGCAGGTGCTTTCATACAAGCAATCACAGCAAGAAGGACAGAGTTACATTTTGTACAGCCAATTTAAGCATTGGACATCTTTGTATTTGAACTTAATGACCATTTTAGTCGGTGCTTGTGTCTTTTCCATGGGAAAGAATCGCCTGTTTTAGATGCGCTGTGTGATCTGCACTAGGTTCTCCCCTCTTGCCTTTGCCCTTAGTCCCTGTCCCTCCCTTTTCACTGCACCATCTCACCTTCTCCCATCTCAGCGCCACTGGACACTGATGAAGGCACACATGCCCTTCACTGTAAATAACAGCAGCCCCACCCAGCAGTACCGGCTGAGTATGAAATTGGGAGACATCTGTCCCAGGACTGTCTCCCTTATAGCACCAGGGATTCAAATCCCACATATTTCTTTTCTACCTTCCTTCTCCTCTGTCCTTTGGCTTATTGCCTGCCTCATAGTTGCAAAATAGTTACCATGATGCCAGGCATCATCATGTATGCCTTCTACCTGAGGGGGAGTCAAGTATGTGGTTACAATGTGTATGGGCAGAAAGCAAAGCTTTCCCCAAGATGCTCAGCATATAACCATGGGCTGCAGTTCTGTCACATGGCTCACTCTAGGAAAATTCTGAGCTAGATGCATTACTTTCTGAATGAAACTTAGATTCTTTTAATAAGGGAGGGGGTTTGGTTCTTGGTAGGGAACATATCTACTAGATTAAATTCCACCATTGTGTCCCTGCTTTGCCTGTCATGTCCTCTTTACTCTTTGGTTTTTCATACCCCCCCCAATATTCTTCTAACCTTCCATTACTCAGATTTCATATGGAATTCCCAAGCAGAATCCATTTCTTAACTCATAAGAATGATCATTTTTGGATAAAAACCTAGCTACAAGTGGATCTCTATGAATCTTCTTCTAGTTGTTATAAGAAATATGCGGTCTCTGGATTAAAAAAACTAAGTCAAATTATACTACGGAAAACTGTAGTTCCAGCTATGTATTTCTGTCATTAATTGGCCTCCTCCAAAATAAAATCAATTAGCCACTTTGGTATGGAAATAGAGAACTTAAACTTTGGTCTTTGAATGAAATTCGCTGTCTCATTTACAACATGGAGATATCGTCACAGATCCCAACATCAGTGTTGTTATTGGGGTTCTCACAGAACATGTGTAAGGGAGGCTAGGTTCTTCTGGACTGTAAATCCTAATGTTTTAAAGGTTGCTTCATGTAGGTCCCCTCGTTCTCAGTGGACCTGTAATGGAAGAGAGGCTTAGGCATAACATGGCTTTGGATCATCCAGGAGACCCTTTTAGCAGAAACAAGTAGCTGCATAGAGAATAAAAGACAGTGGAAAGGTATTCAATGGCCAATGTCGCCACAGAGTGTCCTCATCCGGCCGAGGCAATGGACAGGGATGAGAAGGGTTTCCTCTGGGCCAAGGTCACCAAGGGGGACCTTGAGAACTGTGTCCGTCTCCCCAGTGCTTTCCACAGAGGAATCTATGAACTTATGGAAACCGTTGGAAGGGTGACTTGGCTGAAATAGCTTGCTTTTCCCTTGAGCAGATCTGGGAGAGGTCTAGCAGCATCTTCTCCACAGCAAACCTGTCAGGCATGTGGGTTAAGATAAGGATAGGGAGTCTGCAGTTGGAGGTTGCCACAGCCTTCCTTCCTTCCAGGGAGCTACATGGCCCATGCGCACTGGCTAAGGTCTCATACAAGCTCCCTGTTTCTTGTCATATTTTCCTATGAAAGTACCCAGGGAGGGACAGGGTATTTTCTGTATCCCAGTGTGAAACTTCAATCCACTCGCTTCGCTGATCTGATGAAAAGAACTGGAAGTAGAGATGATGGATATGTTTTGCAAGAATGTTTCCTTTTTTCTTTTTCAGAGCCAAAGGCTTTAGACAGCTATTGAACTTCCAGGATTGTTTCTGAATCTTTTTCTTTTCTTTCTTTTTTTTTTTTTTCCTTTTTTTCAGGTCTGAGACTGGAACTCGAACTCAGTACCTGCCACTTTTGCTCGCTGGCTAGTGCTCTACCAACTGAGCCGTGCCTCCAACCCCAATTGTTTTTCGGGAGGGGGTCTGGTCGTGGGGCCTGAACTCTGGGCCTGGCGCTGTCCCTCAGCTCTTCAGCTCAAGGCTAGCGCTCTACCACTTGAGCCACAGCACCACTTCCGGCTTTTTTCTTTTTGCTTATGTGGTGCTGAGGATCGAACCCAGGGCCTCATGCATGCAAGGCACGCGCTCTACCACTGAGCCACCTTCCCAGCCCCCCCAATTTTTTTAATATAACAAAACACAGTGGGGTAAAAAACAACAAAAAAAACCCCAAACACATAGTAGAAATAATTAATGAGGCACACAAATCACCCAGTTCTTGCTCTCCCTTTCTATTACTAAGCAAATGGACTGTGAGACACCAAATAAAGGCAATCCCGAAGTGATGACATGGGTATTTTCTCCATGTTTTTCGCTGCATACCTTGAAATACTGCTGTTGAGGCTGCGAATGTGCCAGAAGGAAACCACCCTGTGCTCTGTATTCTTTGTTCTTTAGAACCAGGCTGTTTCCAAGTCTTTATTCAGCAACTTCTAAAGGCCTCTCCAAGGAGAAGACATGCAAACAGATACAGTTGAGTCCTAGTAAGTCCCAGACACTGGAAATTTAAGAGCAGTTTGTTTTATTTAGGTGAGAATGGATTGCTTTAAATTATCAACATGTGCATATTTTGCTCCATATTCATTATTAGATGCTGAGCAGGGAAACGAGAAAGCCAAGGAGAAAAACTATTGAATTCCCATATAATTGCGATATACTTCCACTTAATTTTGTATGGGCAGTGTTTTATCAGACTTAATTTCTAACCTTTGAAATGATTTACGCACGGAGAGAGCTTGTATATCTGACTGGGGAAACATTAACCAGATCTCATTTTCACCGGTGCGGTAATAACTATTTATTTGCTATCCTAGGTGTGCTGGGAATGAGCCTATGTGTGAGTTTTATGGGATACATTCACACGGTGTCAGAATAATCACATAGCCACATGTCCATTTTTTAAAAATTGTAACACTGTGTAAATGTTGGTACCTTACTGGAAAATGTTTGCAATCTTATTTTTTAAAATAAAGTAAGCGCTGCCTCAGTAAGCATGCCACAGAGGGAAGAGACACTGATTTCACTGCATGGTTTTGCCAGTAGGTCCTCTAGAAACCTGGTTCTGGTGACATGGCTGACGTGTGCAGCCATATTGAGATGCGTGCTCAAGCTTGTCACATAGACTATGATACCAGTTTGGTTGACTTCAATATCCCTGGTTCATGGCTGAGCGAGCAATGACCAAATAAAAATTCAGACTAGGGCTCTAAGTTTCTAAACTCATCCTTTTAACAAAAAAAATTCTGTTTACTATCTTGAGAAGCACAAGGGGTGAATTATGCCCATTCTTAGCAGCTTTTTTGTTATTGTTTTGAAGGTTTTCAACTTAAAGGAAAGCTTGAAAAAGAGAGGGGAAAGAAGGGAAAGAGAAAGAAAGTGAAAAGAGCCCACATATCCTCAAATTAGAAGGGATGCTATTAAAATAAACATAGGCAGAGAAAAGTCGTCTCTGCTTAGTAGAGGGAACAAGAAGTTGTGGAGGGGGGTGGGCAGCCTCAATAGAGGGGACAGCAAATGCAAATCTCTGACAGTGGAAATGTGTCCCTACTGGGTGCCACTGAGGGTAAAGCCTACAAGACGTGTTGGGGAGGGCTGGGGTAGGAGTAGGAGTATTAAAGTCAGTTTGGTTTTCCTTTGGGAGGAGGATTGCCCTAAGGGTATGTCTCAGGATCTTGGAGGGCAGGTAAAGGGCTTGAATTGAGAGCTGTGATAGAATGTGACTTGTGTTGTCCCACAAACCATTATGGCTGTTGGAGGGTGGGTCTGGTTATATGAGCAATAATGAAGGCTTACTCCAGGCAAGTTCTTAAATTCTAGGTAGGTTTCCAAGGAAGATTTGCTGGTGCACTGGATACAAAATGGTACCTAGAACCAATTGACCAAGAAGGGCTCGATGGCACAAGGAGCTCCACTCTGGAAATGTTAACGTGAGAGATGCAAATTCAGAGTTCAGGGATATCAATGATGCTGAAATGGAAATCAAACCACTGGCTTATCAGTGCAATTGAAAGCCAAGACTGGAAACTTCTTAGCTCCAATGATGTCCTTAACAAAACTTTAATATTGTGTGTTCGGGGTATCACACACATGTTAGATGCAGACAAGACTGCACTTGAATTGCAGATTTATTGAGTCCTAGCTGTGTGACATCGTAAAAAGAATTGAACCTCTAAAGAGAACCTAGGTTTCTCCATCTCTGAAGTATGAGCTCTTGCTCTCGACCCATTGACTGGGCTGTGAGAATTGAAAGGGCTACTCATTGTACAGTGCTTAGCATAGACTAGGGCCACGTGAATTTTAGATGTTATATTTTTGTCCTTTTATTTTTTTAACATCTTAGATTTTATTATTTATCATCTCTAGTTGTATAAAGGGGTTTCAACATTTTATTTCTTTATGAAGCCCCCATTATTCTTAATTAGAAATTCATTTACAGTCATAAAACTTTAATTATAAGAACCCACTCCCACCAAGCAAACACAGATCAGACAAAGTAAGCACAGATCAGGCTAATCAATCGTCCCTCTTTGAGACTTCTAAAATCATTTCTAAACCAAACAACCTTCCTCCCCCTGCAAATAAGCAAAACAAAACAAAACCTCTCAGATCTATTAAGGGTTGTCATAAACCTTACCGACTCTACATTAATGTGAAATTATAGAAAAGAAAGCAGTTGGTCAAAAATCCCATATTGGCTCAGGGAGAATAAAAGCATGTATGTGCATGGATACAGAACTAGCCATTGATTGCTTTGAAATTTACAGTAAGAGATTATGAAATACTAGAATGTGTGTAAATTGCTCATTTTCGCACAGTATAAAACCTAACACCCACTATACTTCTAGACAGAGAAAAAAAAACCCTCCCTCCAGCACAGTGTTGAAGTAGAACCAAGTCTATTAGTAGAAACGAAAGAAATGCCTTTTGTGGGCCTTGGATATTTCCCTTTAACATGATGTAGTTAAAAGCTGGTGGTGTGGGGGAGGGGGAGGGGCGTGTGTGAACAAACAGGATCTGTCCTATAGGTGAAGGGCCATCAGTCTTTATTCTGGAAGCTTAGCTAAATCTAAGCAGAATGGCCTTGCAAATAGAAGTCTGGGTCATGTGTTGTGGGTTGAGACAGGACCAGAAACTTCCATCTCTGCCTCAGGCTGTGAGCAGGCTGAGCCCAGTGCCTGATCTGCCTGTACTTAAGGGTCTTCCTCAGTTCATTGGTAGTTAATTGGCTAGAAAGAAGCTACCATATGTGGAGGTAAATAGGGAGCATCTATTTTTGGCAGTTCCTCAACATTGCATTTCATTAAAGAAATGGTGGGGTTTTTTTTCTTTCCGAATGAGCAATAAGCAAAGAGCACCTTGTGGGGATTTCTAAGCCCCTTCAGTCAGGGTTTGGCTCACAGAACGAAGGGAGCAATTTATATGTGATTCCAGCGTTTGTTATGGAACACATATTTCAGAGATTAAACAGCCGTCCTCAATCCAAACAGATTCTGTCAGCGAAATTGAAAACATATCCATAAATTCTCGGCCCGCAGGCTGCTTGGTGGGTTGGGTCCAGAGGAGGCTCCGTGGTAGAACATTCTTCTGCCTTCTGCAGGACCCCACGGTGAGTTCACACACTTGCACGTTCAGGGTTTCCACCTGAAGCCAACCCCAGTGGAAATGGAAGCGCGCTCCCTTTTGACGCGCAGGTTTCGTTTTCTGCCATTTCTCAAACTTCAACCTGTTTCCAGGAAGGTGTTTCCAGGAAGGTATTTCCAGGAATGGCTGCTGGGTGGCTGAAGATCAACAAGGAACTTTCTCCAGGGAGTTGCCAAGCTGAGTTGCTGCGTGGAGCAGGCGTGTCTCCTGGTTATTAAGAAGCTGAGGGCAGGAGCAGGGCTGT